AAAAGGGGTTAAAATCACACACAGATATATAATATATATAACTTTTAAAAAATCAAAACTTATCACAAAGTTAAGCATTAAAAAAGCCAGTTTTGAAAGTGAAGAATATCACATAATTCAAAACAAAGAGGTGAAGCAAAGTAAAAAAAAAATGCAAAATAACAAAGCTCATATTTTTTTTGACAAGGCTATTAAATGATGGTGTCAAACCAAGGTTTAACAGCCATTTTATTCGTAGATTTTTTAAAATCAAGTCTTGATCCAGTGATTATAACACATACTCGTGTCATTATATTTCTCTTAAATTTGTCCCTCTTTAAAACATTATGAGGTTTGGTATTTGAATGGGGTGTAGCTCTAAATACCTATCTGAGTGCTTAGCTTTAACCAGTATACCATGTCTACATATCCTTTGAGAAGCTGACAATCAAATATTTGGGATACATCTTTAGAAGTTTACAATAGTGTTTTTTTTTTTTTTTTAAATTCAAGCTCTAACAGGGAAGGTATTAATTAATACTGAATTCAAAATAATGAGCTCCATTCATGCTAGCTATTATAGTTTTTTAACAAAACAAAAATAAATACAATGTTGAATGGGCATTCAAACAAATCAATTAAAAAATTAAAAAAAAAAAGTCAGTATTGTTTGATACACAAATATTTAAAAAATCTTTAGGTCAATGTGACCTGAATTCAAATACAAAACAAATTGAGACAACCCATGCTTCAATTGCTTTATTATGTACAGTAAAACAGTAAAATTGAACACTATAATAACTTAGGTGAATACAGACAGAGTCAGTGGTTAGAACAATTCTGAATAGAGGACAGACTTAGGATAACTGTAAGTATGGGATTATGGTTGATTGAAGGATTTCAAGTTTTAATTAGCACAACTGCACCTTGTAGTTCTAAAAAGTACCAAATTTGTGCAATTTTTATGTTAGGTTAATTATGTCTATGACCTTAAAAAGTCTTACAGAGAAAAAAGCTAAGCCTACAACAATTTTTTAAAATAACATTGTGGGTTGTTTTCTTATGTTTTCTTTTTTAGATGAGATCAGCTGTAGAAAAATCAAGCATGTATTTCATTCTCATGGAATTTCAAAAGTATAACTGTGACCCTCCACGGACAATCGGGTCACTTAACACTCAAAGCTGATTTTGAGTTTTTCAGTCAACCCTAAAGCCTTTATATCACTGATTTGTATTGTGACGGCTGTTGAGGAACCAAACCAACAGAAATGAGTGTTGTATTGTTTACTGTCCTTATTGTAGTTATCAGAAATTTGAAGTTTACTCCCCAACGGCTTCATACCAAGCATATTGGTTTGCTATTTTCAAAAGACAATTTAAATATTAATTTCAATTTTTAAAAACCTCCACAACACGTGTGTATAAATAGTTATAAATAAACAAGATCCAAAAATGTATAATAAAACAATTGTGACTCTAGCTCATGGCACAAAGCAATTCTTTTTTTTGGAGGATCACAATTTTTTTGTTCGGTCATGTGGGCTCACGAGTAACTGACCAGCTTATGACTTGTCTGACCAACTAACTGATGGTCAGTACACTGAAGCAAACACATCAGAGATACAACTTCTCAAACTAATACATAATAAAAAAAAATCTGTCATTTAAACCACACGCTCAACAACACAATCAGACGCCCCAGAATGAGACATATTACAATGGACACATCACAGATGTAGTTTTAAACAAAAAAATAAAAAAACTTATAACATTTTAAAAACCACAAAAAGATAGATAATACTCTATGTATGAACCTATACCATTCACACAGCTTCAAGACTGACTATTCAAATCAAGTATTTCTCCAAAGTTCATTATGAACGAGGGATGTCTAAAAGGACAGTATAGACATACAATAGTGCATATGTTGCGGTGTCTTCAGCAGTATCCAATACTTTGTATAGAATTACGGTAATACGGACTCAATGGAGGAAAATAATCTAGTGATATGTGCGATACAAGTGTCAGATATGTTAAAAGGACTTTGTGATATATGTGCCAGGTAGTAAAACTGACAGGTAGTCATATTAGTTAGGTGGGCTCAAGTGCATCCTAATGGACAATTACAATGGACATATGTGTAAAAGATACAACACCCACCACACCGGATGACCACACCACCCACCAAGCTGGATGACCACATCAACCACCAAGATGGATGACCACACCATCCATCAAGCTGGATGACCGCACCACCCACCAAGTTGAATGACCGCACCACCCACCAAGTTGAATGACCACACCACCCACCAAGGTGGATGACCACACCACCAACAAAACTCAATGACCACACCACCCACTAAGTTGGATGACCACACCACCCACCAAGCTGGATGACCACACCACCAACAAAACTCAATGACCAGACCACCCACCAAGCTGGATGACTCAATACATTTTAAAATTTTAAGTAACCAAAAAGACAACTAAAATTGTAATATTTGTTTTGGTTTTTTGCTAAAGAAAACAGCTGAGTAAACAGGTATCTATTATGACTCAATAAGGAAATACATTTTAAGTTTACCATAAAAAAATTAAAATTAATAACTATTGACCAAAAAGGTCTTGAGACTAAATATTTGAAAATGCAGATCGCATTTTTTTTTTTTTTAAATAAGGTTAAATTCCAATAAAGCATTTAACACTGGCAAGAGAAGTAAACCATTTAAATGTAGCTCTATATATGTGCAGTGATACTTCATAAATATGAACTGCTTAAAATCAATAATGTTATGACTAGATATTTTAATTCAAAACATTTAGCTGAACACAGTAATCTTAAAAATTACTTACAGTTTACTGTAAGAGAGAGAGCAATGTATTTGATCAATAAAAAACAGTCTGTATGTAACTAGATAGTTATAAATTATTTAAAAAAATTTCTTATCAACACCTGGAGAAAAATGTAAATTATTAGATAAAATTCCAGTTTCATATCAGAGCTGCATAGCTGGTCTTTAAACTTCCTTTTCTTTACAATAAAAAGTAAACTTTTTCAATTCTGTAGAGTTGTTCAAATTGTACAAACATGTTTAAATGTGGTTAAGTAGTGATTATTCCTAGAACTTTTCATGTATCATAGGATTGCATAAGAATATTGAAACCTAACATACCAATAGCATACATCTAACACTTGAGAATGAGGGACTGTATTGTATTCTTTAGGCACCAGGGGAATGAAATCCATCAACAGATTAGACAGAAGGGTTACATGATCATGCATGTGAACTAAAAACAAAATGACATCTAGGCCTATGATCAACTTACTGAGGGGAATGAAATACAATAGATTACAGTGACAGGAGAGTTACCTAAACATGTGAACTAAAAACAAAATGTCACTTATAATCACATTACAGGATACCATTATTGTCACTTAAAATAGAATCTTTGATAACTTGCAAACAATACTTAAAGGTATTGTTTAAGGAACTCTTGAGAATTTTATTCAGAACTACTAGAGGTGGGTTTTTTAAATATAGATTTACTGGTTTGAAGTTCACAAGACTATAGAGAGAAGCCTCAAGGTGCAGACTTTTTTTGTGTATAAGCAATCTTGTTTAAAATGTTTGATGTTTCAGAAAAGCAAGTAGGGCCTATTTACTATACGTCAATAACATGTTTTGTTGGGTTATCTGATACTGAGTGCCCAGAATGTGTGCCACAGAAAATTTCTTTTATTTAAGCATGTAAATGTGTCAGCATAAATGCCACTGTACTAAGTGAACGGGCCTTGAAAGGTTTTTGTTTTTTAAACTTAGATAAATTGTAGATAAAAATATAATTCAACTGTTATAAATCTAAAACTATTGTACAGTTTCGTAAACTTTCATTGCACTTTGTGAATAATGTTAGTGTGTGTTAAAGCTCTATAAATGCTTGTTGTATATAAAAAAAAAATTATAATTAAAAAAAAAAAGAATAAAAATCTGACAGTTAAAAATGGATGTCTTAAAGCCAATTAAAACTAAATTTACATAAACTCCATTAGAACTGAATCAACTTGTGGGTTATGAAAAATGGAATATTTGACTTCAATAGGAATAACATGACTTGATAAGATTTGTAAATGATTTTTTATACAAATGCATCTTCAGTAAAAAATAAATGTAGTAACATCATTGCACTGTATCTTCAACAGTAACCAAATGGGATTTCACAGCAAACTATAAGTGACAGTTAAAAAGTCCATTGATATTCCCTGAAGCAAACTTTTCACAACCAGTTCAAACTAGAAAAATTTGGTTCTCTTCCATGATAGTCATTGAACCATAGGACATTTTTTTTTTTTACAAGTAAGTGATTACAATTACCAATCAACTTTGGCTAAATTACAAAGATTAATGATGAAGTATTTTTCTTCTGCAAATGATACATGAACATGTTCCCAGGTAAACACACAATCATCAGCCAAAAGTTTCCATAAAATTCTAATTAATCTAATTACAGCACTAACAGTCAATTTATCCAATCACTTTTTCTAACTTTGTCATTTTTTAAAAAATCCCACATTTGTAAGTGAACAAAGCATTTAAACTGATGAATTTATTTTTAAAAAAAAGATGGACTAGCTATTTTTAAAATGCTGTTTGTTGAATTTCTAATAACATACACATGGCCTTTTTACTTTAATAGAATATTTTGGAAATAAAAACTAAAAAAAAAACAACATATGACTACAATAATTTTAAACAATATATTATAAGATTTTTCATTTAGCTCTAAAAAAAAACAAGTGCATATGATAGGTTCAGAGTTTGCATCTTTGATTCAATTGCAATCCATCCTGCTCATGCATATAAAGGGTCAGTTGAATTCAGGTGTGCTATTAGATAAGTGTCGAGGCCCAGAAGAGCTTCCCACATTATTTGTGCATGTCACATTTGGGCTGTACTAGCACCAAAGGGTCACTGTAAGATTAAATGCAACCTATAGACCTAGATTGATGAGAGACTAGAGTTCTACGCTCCACAGCCACCACATTCACCTAAATCCCCCCCACTGTCCACCAGCCCTCCACTGATCTCCCCTCCCCCCACGCTGTGATCACCTCCACCCGCACAGTACAGCATAGTGGAATGATCCTGTATTGCCTCACAATCTCCTCCCCCACCAAACAATCCCGCATTGACCCCCGTGTCCTCGTGGTCATTGTACGACCCATAACTATTCACAAAACCTGCGTAATCCGTGTGGTTCGCCCTTTCACTATAATCCGTGTGATTAGCCCTTTCACTGTAATCCATATGGTTAGCTCTCTCAGAATAAACTTCCCATGCATTTGTTTCTAAATGATTCACATCATTAAACAAACCACCGATGTTTTCATTACTGCACCCGTTGACCTGGTCGTCAGATCCTATATTGTAAAACTCATCATAGTAATTATCCACATCAAACGCTATCTCCTCATGGCTACTCATCACATAAGAGCTCTCTTCCCCGCAGTCGTTAGGGCTGGCGTGCCCAAACGGATCCTCATCCTCAACCTCATCGCTGTCACTCTCCCCGTTCCCAAACAGCCCTGTTTGACTATCCGCATCAAAGACCCCTTCGCTCTCCCGCTCTGATATATCCTCCTCCCCACTCTCACTGCTCTCCTCTAGTATACAGTCCTCAGTGCCCACCTCAACAGGAGCCTCCATGTACTCTGCTCTCTCTGCAACAGCTACGGCTATAGGACCTTCTCTAGAACTTTTTTTCTCTTTAAGCCCATGGCCAACAGGACTTTCTTTAAGCTCTTTTTTATCAGGGACAGTAACTGCTACAGGGTTTTCTCTTAATTCTTTTTGATCAGGAACAATAACTGCTACAGGTGTTTCTTTGTACTTAGTTTTTCCTCCAGTGTATAAGGCAACAGGGACTTCTCTGTTGTCATTTTTTTGTTCATTACTGAAAGCAGCAGGGGCTGGACTTTCCTGCTCTGTTTGGTGCAAGCTGGTGTCATCCGTGACTCGGAGCAAACATGTCTCCTCTGTCACTTCTTCAATATCACTCTCACAAGTCACATGCCCTGTTTTCACATCCTCTTCACTACTTTCATCATCACTTTCCTTTATCACAGTCAGAGCAGAGCTAGGACAAACCGCAGCTTCCGGGGTGCTGGCCCCTGCATTGCTGTTGTCCTCCGCCCAGCCTGCGTTGACCTGCGCTTCATGAAGAATGAGAGAAGGCATCTCCGACCTTTCACCCTGTTCTCGCTGGCCGCTCCTCAGCATGTTTTCACCGTACTCTTGTTTCCTTCTTTTAAAAAGATTTTTGATAGCGTGATTGCATGGCGTTGCTATCAACACACCGGCTGCTAACAAGAGTGCTATTTCTTCCGAGCCGCCAAGCCTGGGCACGGCCTGTTCCTCCGCCTTGGGTGAGGTCAGCTGCGGTGCCCAGTTCGTTGGCCGAGGCTGACACAAAACATGGATCAGAGCCACACTGAATATAAGCCCCAGGTTTTCTGCGATCTCCGACCTGTCTGAGTTGATCTCTATAAATCCACTGTCAAACTCCACCACAGAATCTCCAATTTCAAACTTGGAGGTGGCCAGGGAGTAAAGACGATCGAAGGAGACAAAGTGACACTTGTTGGACTTGAGATGGTAAAATCTCACTTCTAAATGGCCTTCGCTACCAGAACCTTGGAGTAAGAAAATAAGAAAAAATTAATTAATTACTTCCTAGCCGAGAGCTGAAGTATAGCGGCAAACCGAAGTTATGTTACATAATCTTTTTTATAAAAACTAGATACCTCAACAAAATTTTTATAATTCTTTGAATTGCAATTTTTTTTTATTATTCTTTTATATGAAAATAGTTTGTTTTACTACTTTCAGAAATGTAACTATATTTTAATTTAGTAAAATGTTAATTCTTTTGAAGTTATTTACATTTTTTGAAAGCAAAACTCTACAAAATCACAATATATGATTTTTAAAGATTTTAAATTCTAAACACTTGATACTCTTCAACTGCTTATGTATATTTATATTTGCAGAACACTATCCATCCAAGTACAAAACTGAAAGACCTTTAAGACAAAGATCATCACTAATAGTAATACAATGTATATAATTGTAATTAATTTGTATATTTTTTATTACTGATCTTTTTCTAATCAGGTAATGATTTTTTTCTCATTTTTCAATCACCTAAACAACTTAAACTAGCAAAAACACAATACAAATAGCAGCCATCACTCATTCACCTTTCCATAGCAAATCTCTAAGTACTCTAACCCCATGTTGTAGCTATGCGCTAGAGTGAAAACAAGTTTAATAGATCAATAGTGAACCCAAATATTGTTGAAAGAAATTGATTGGTGTTTATAAATCTGTTGAACCCAGGGACCCAACTATTGTAGCAGTAGTCTAGGTTTCCTAAAGCGTGGCCTATAAATGGAGATGCCCTATCAAATAATCGCCTAACCTTTTCTACCTGTCAGTCTTCTTTGAAAACCATCCCACCATCCAACAGCTACCCCCCAGTCTCCATTGTTGTTCTTAATGAGAACAGCCCTCTGCCCTTCTTTAGGATTAAGTGTTACACACTTTTTTGTGTCTGTCACCTGCAATCAAATATATAATAATACAATAGACAATATGTATTTATTCTTTAACTTGGTACATTAAAACTAAATTTGAACAAATGCTGATTATTAATCCTAAAGAAAAACACCCAAGCTATCAGGTAAAGAAAAATGTTTACAGAGGATGGCAAGGGAAGCTGGTCCCCTACAACCAGATGTGCCACAACCGTCAGCTTATCTCCATAGAACACATGAATAGCAGACATGAGAAGGGGCTCGCTGTGTATCATGCGCACTGTGAACACTACTCTCCTTGTGTGGTTGAACAACCTGGAAGATACAGTCATGTTAAGTTGCAATTTAGGACAGGAATTTTAAAGATAGCATGTTTCCAAAAATAAAATGAGATTTAATACAGTGTTTAAGAAATACACTTAACCCATTTTAAAAATGTGTTTATTCACTGTATTCAGCATAATACTATTTTAAAATATTAAAACTGGGTTTTTTAGTGGTTGTTAGAAAATAGTTTGACAAAGATTGTTACAGTGTAAAAAATGTCCATTTTTAATCGACTTGAATTGTTTCAATTCTCCCAAATTACCAATTTAACTAACATGTTCTGCAACAATTGTAAAACTAAAGATTTTATGACAGAAATAACAATCAGTCAGACTATTCTAATCTATTCTACACTTCGGTGAGCCTCAAGTTCAGATCCAGGCTTGAATCTTTAGGATGTCCCTGTGTCAACTCAGCTCTGATGAGTACCTGATTCTTGTTAGGGAAAGTAAAGGCAGATGGGCATAGTGCTCACTGCACTATTCCTTCATAGGCCAAGGTCACCAAAATAAGTGAACTCTACTTCACCTAACCCATGGACAATAATGTTTAAAAGGGTACTTTAACGTATCAACTAAACCAAAACTATGGAATTAGCTATGTGATAAAATCACAACAATCTTTAAAAAATACTGATGAGACATCATTCATACTTATGTGAAGCCACGGAGCAACGGTTGTCTACTCCAGGTGGCAGTCGAGGAAGTGGAATGGGCCCCCAAATGGATTCTCTATCTTCAGGCATGACGCAGCTCTGGTATTCCCCTTGCTCCAGCCGCAAGACACATGGCCCTAAAACTGGCGCTGGGCAGCTCCAATTCTACAAGAAGATCAAACACCTTTGTTCATAGACTATGTAAGATTTATGTATTTGGTAGCTAAACTTAACCTTAATTGCACAGCATCACAACCACTACTGCATTTAATTAATTAAGGGATATTACACCTTCTCTGACTTCACTTTTGAACACTATGTTAATATTGTCTATTTAAAATTGACCAAGCCTCAATTTTGCCATTTTCATAAAGGTATTTTTTTCTGTGATGATTTTAACAATGCTGCATTGGTTATTTTTGCAAATTCTGCACTGAAACTTGCATGGTTTTAACTACAGTTTCAGAGTTTGAACATTGATAGTTAAGTCTTTATGCAGTGTATATAATATATTGAGCTAAAGTTAAGATAATCAACTGTTAAACTAAATAAATAACATTTACATTCCAATAATAAATGGTTGTAGATTCTTGATAAACTATTTTTCTTAAAGCTTAGATCAGTCTATTCCATCAAAGTTTTGAAAAAAAAATTTAAATAATAACTTGATCAAGATGATGACAGACTGAACCACACACCCACTGCCCACTATGTAAATATGCAGGAAATCTTACAGGTCATATAATTTGTGTGTGTGAAGGGGGGGATACAGGGAGTAATAACACTGAATAAGAAAGAAATAATGGATTTGTAAGGCAGACATTTTATAACACTTTTTTTTTATAAAAGCATTTTCGAGACTACAGATTTATGTTGATAATTAAACTTAGCCACTTCCATTCTTTACTAAGGCTGTTTCTAAGCTTAGATCACTGGTTTTCTACAAACCTCTCCCACCATATCCACCCATTTATAACCTTTACTGACCATTTTATTTTAAACCTCTTTATCTAAATCCACCCACAGCAACATGGCCAATAACAAAAGGTCAAATCTGTTCACAGTAAACAACTATTAACTGTAAAAAAAAAGGTTACAGGAATTTGAAGCTTCAGCCTAGTGAACATTTTTTTAAAATAGAGACAAGAATAGACAGGTTCTGGAGAAGCAATATAGGTAAACATTAGCTGGAAACACAATCAAAATAGTTCTTGCAGACTGGCAACAACAAGAGAACCCCCAGATAGTTAACTTGAGCGATTAAATCAGTGGTGTGAACAATGTTACACACAATTCAGCTTTGTTATCTACAGTTAATATTCATTACTTAAGGATTTGTATGGCATTAATAAACCCAAATTTAAAATGAGAGGAATACTGACAGATACCAAGTTATAGGCATTTGAATTGTCTGGGGCAATAAACTATTTGTTGCTCCAAAAAGAATATATGATGTACCATTACATCACATCAAACATCATTTAGTATAATTTCTATATATTATATAATATAGTATAAACATTTATCAAATGTAGATCTACATATCAATTTATTGTTGACTGAGTAAAAAATCATTTTACAAAAACTATCTTTTTTAAAGGCACCTGTTATGTTAACTATATAATTTTTTTTTCAAACACTTAGTGAATTTAACAACAGTGGGCTTCAATTAGCATTTCAGCCATCTGATAAGATCTACTTTATTCTGAGCTTCACCATACGTCATGGGTGTAATCCACATATTTTGAGTTTTACATTTCTGCTATAGGCACATTATTCGGCCTAGTATATTTGGACTTGGTATCTAAATGTCTTATCTATCCAACATAAGGGCCCCTAAACTGCATTTTCAAACACAAGCTGGATCATGCATTTTGTTTTGGAGCAAACAGGGTAGATGACCACTACAGCAAATATAAAAATATGAGATGAAATAGCCTTTCCAACTAATCAAAAGTATTACTGAAGAATGTGCACCTTCAGTGTTAAAATTCAAGGTGCAAAAAAACATAATGCTTTAAAAAGTAATGTTTTTAACATGTTTATTAAATACAAAACAGGTCACATATCTTTAGCCTCCCAATAACACTAACATTACTGATCCTAACTGACGTCAGTCAAATCTCCCCCTGTTCTTTTGGAGTGATATCATTAATTTGATTAATGGATGACCCTATGCAAGCTAGTTTGATGTATATGTGGTAGTGTTTAAATAATACATTAATTTACACATTGAGCAATGCATATTGATATTTTGTTTTGCTTTGTTCATATCTTCTCCATTCAATTCTCTATAAAAATATATTCATGCTGATTCCATACACAAGGCACTACTAGGATGGTAAATCACAACAAACAGCAAAAGTTAAAATGTAAACTAATCAACTGTCATTTAATGTATGAGGGAAAAATTTTTTAGACCAAAGTGTTTTCAAACCAAAAAGAAATCATAAAAGCTGAACAGTAGAAATCAACTTACCAGACCAATAGATAATCCATCGCCACAATCTATCTCATCATTAGCCGTTAACCCTTTGCTGTTTAACGACTGTATTTTCTTCTGTAAATCTATCTTTCCCTCACCAACAATGTCGTTGGTGCCCAGGCACAATTTCCCAGATTTTTGCTGAAGACTTAGAATGATTTTGTCATTGTAACGCGTATCAAAAGAAAAATGTGTGTTGACTCTGTTGTCTTCCAAAACCCTGGCTGTCCCTTTGACTGTAGCAATATTCTCCGTCACAAATAAGGAGCGGTTAAAGTTCTGATAGCCAGTGTTGTAGCATAGTTTTAATTTAAACGTTTTACCAAGAGGAAGACCGGATATACCAATTTTTTCTATAAGGATATTTGCTTGTTTCGTGCACACTCTGCAAATATCTTCTTTGTTCATTGCATAAAGTTTGGAATTTGGTGGTTCTCCTCTGTACATTGCTCCAAAATAAGAGAATTTTTCACTGAATACTTTTCTCCACAGGTTACGTGTTTTAGCCTCTGATAGCGATAGCTTAGAGCCAATAGTCCTGTCATTAACTGAATCATCATGAGGAAGTAAACTCCCCATATAAGTCTCCGTATCATCTTTGTAAAAGACAGGATGGAGCATATGGGTATGCCACATCAAGTCATTATCATAGCACGGGACAAGAAATACTCCTGGGTTATGGCACTTTAGAAAGAGAAATTTTTTATATCGCAGCAACGCATTTTGCAAGAATTTATCATCTCTGTAATGGGGAAGACTGACTTGATAGTAGAATACTCTTTGCCTTGCAACAGCGGATGCTAAATTGTAGGTCAAGGCTGAAACAAACTCACAATCAAACCAGGGTGTTACAGCATCACATGCAGAAAAAGGCACATCAGCATATTCTTTCCTCCACAGGCGCTCAGAATCCTTTAGCAACTCTTTTCTCTGAGACTTCTCCATCAGGTGATGGTCTATTAGCTTCCCTGCAATGTTGTGGCAGTCTGTGTTGTAAGCCGCTGGGGACAACATGTGGCACTGCCATATCCACTCAATATCCAGCGGGGCGGGCAACAAACGACCTGGGTGCTTGGCCACTAATGGCAGCCAGTACCTCTCATAGCGCTGAATAGCACATTCAACTAAAGGCCCTTCATATAATTCAGGCTTGGCTGAGATTTCACTTAAAAATTCCAACAAGAATTTAGCAGCATCTGGTAAGTCTACAGATATGGGTACATCGTTGGAATCAAAGGGTGCTACGGAACAAACGGAGCTTGAGCTTGCTAGCCTACCTGACATGGTTTGGGCTAAACATCAACACCATAACCAACAATAAAACACATTTTTCAGGTCATTTAACACACACAGGTAGGATAATATCTTGATTGAAGAAGATTCCCATGTTATATTCCTAAAAAAGAAAATAAATAAGTTAAAGAATAGAGATGAAATAAGTTTGCATTTATTATTGTTCATTAAACTAAACTAGTTTAACAATCTAAAAAATATTTTGAGTAAAAATAAAAATATAACTGTTTCCGTAACAATGTTTACCTGATATCTGATCAAACAAAATTAGATAGCTCCTAACTTTTCTAAAACAGTAAACTTTTTTTGCAATCACATTATTTAAGTAAAAAATTAATTACAAGGTTTTATGTAATAAAAATGTTAAGAAATTTAAAGTAAGTCGTCAAAATGTATAACTCTTTTTTTTTTAAAAAAAAAACAGTTCTTAACAAAACAAGAATATTTCATTCTCAGTATAATTTAGATATTTTGAAAAATACAAATGTGTAAAGAATTAAATGCTGAAGGGGAGATAACTTAGTATTAACAATCACCCAAATTAGGTGAATTGATGTTTACAAAAATAACCTGAAAACCTGAGAGCCTACCATGGGCACTAATAAGATTCAGGCAATTTTTGCTTGGAGTTTATGTATTGCAAGCTTCTGAGTGAATTTTAAAACATTTTTAGCCATATTATTAAAGTTAATAAAGAATGATCGGAATAGAAATCATACATATGGTAGGTTACTAATTGCTTTTGAAAATTGATTTTTAAAAGATGACTTTTTGACAATTGGTGAAAATATTTTTAAAAAATGTATGTATACAATTGAACTACTGTTTGGCTTTAATCTGGTACAATCTACAAAAGTTCAATTTTTATTAACTTCGGTTTGAAGTTAGTATTTTATAACATAAGACTCCAGGGTGAAGACAGACAGCAGAAGTCAGATAAAGGAAATAAAGGCCTTGTAGGCCCTACCAAATAGTTTTGAAATAATAAACATTAGGGCCCTAGTATTTTTAATTTTTATTAGCGTATATTAATTACATTTTGGAGTAGGCCTAATGAATAGTATTAAGATTGTCCTAAATCTAAATAAAAAATGCTTAAAGCACAGAGCGCTGTATGATGTCACAGCGTTAACATGTTATTTTTAAGCTATCAAATAAAAAAGGCAGATTCTAGCCGGAAAAAGATATGCATGCGCAATGGAGAGAAACTACCGCCTTCCTTCGCGGCGATGTTTTCGATGGTACTGCGTATATTTTCAAACTAACCACATAACCATAACACCACCCTAACACAGCTATTAATTAAGCTCACTGCGCATGCGCAGAACTATTGAGTTTCATATCTTCTGCCGACCAGATGGGGTGAAAAATCGACCAGCAACCCACCAATACATTATAGAAAAGAAAATGCATGACAATAGGCCTACAAATTATGATCACTAAAATAAATAACGTAGGCATATTGCATTGTTTAAGGTTGAGGACTAATCTAAAAGTTAGAAGACAGACTTCAATCTTGAACTTGTTTTTGAGTTTTGGTCTGCTTGGTGCTGCATGAATTTAAATATTGTGTGTCTAGTCTAGATTTTAATACACACCATATAATGAAAAAATGTTTGTTAATAATTGTTTATAAATAAATCCGTCACATGATATTCCATTTAATCGAAATTATAAAACACTGTTGTTTACTTTACAATCATTCATTTATGTTATTGACAGCTTCCTGATTTTTTTCCTTTAGGTGAATTTTCTTGGAACTAACTTCCGGTATAGAAATATTTTCGCAGTATTTCGAAATTTAAATTATTGTGTGTAGCAGCATGATTAGACGTTTAGCTAGCGTTCTGGGTTTATTACAATTAAGCGATGACATTTTAAAGAAAATTGCCAAATCTTACAATGATTGTGACAAATCCTTATAACGTTCATACAAAGGTGTTCGATAAAACATTTGTTTAAAATATGTAAGCTTAGTGTGAATTAGAGTTAAATTATTAACTTTTTAAATCTGAAAAGTATCTAATTCATTGTAGACCATATTTGCCATTATTTGTGATAGACCAGTTGGTAACAATAATTTTTCCAACTCTTTCCCTTCTCCTCCTCGCGTCGAAGCATAATAATTAATGCAGTTTTGTTTAAAAGAACAACGATATTTAGTAAGACCTTCAATAATTATGCCTAACCTTAATCAAAATCTACTTTTAAAAAAAAACAGAATATCGCACTCGATATTAGATCATTCTGTCAACTCGCATCACCAAACATCTGAAAAGAGAGGTGTTGTCTTAGCTTTTTTGATGGAACGATCTAACCATGGGTTCTGATTACAGTAGCCTCACGCTCCCATCCCCACCCATGATGCACTCCCCTTCCCCCCTCCCCTCCCATTGATCTGCCATTCAATATTAAAACAGTGTTTCTTACAGGTTTTTTTCCCCGGGGTGCACTTGAAATTTGTTTTTGGGGGGGGGGGGGCGGACTTAAATTTCCGGGGGCTCCTCGCCCCCCCCCCCCCCCGAAGAAAGTCTACCGCCCCCCCCCCCCCCCCGAACGAAATGGAATTTATATAGAAAATATATACTTTTTACAGTGTTCGCCCCCCCCCCCCCCCCCCGGAAATTGTTGTTCGCCCTCCGCCCCCGCCCCCCGAAAATTTCAAGTGCACCCCCGGAGAAAAAAAGTCTGGAAGAAACACTGGTTGAATCTAGTAAAGTACCCTATATTTTTAAAAAATTCTGTCAGTACAGTCTGTTAGGTCTGGGTTTGGGTCAGTAGGGCTTTAAGACTACGGTTTATGATTGGAGTAGCAAAATAGAAAAAAAAAATAACCCAAATACCGCTTTCCAATATTAAAAAGTATTTTTTTTCAAATAGTAGGCTACATAGCCTACCTACCTCCCAATGCAATCCAGTACAATAAAACTAACAATCTCTATCGCCGAATGCTAGAAGTTTGAATCGGCGATACCATTACCAGTTATACGACTAAGAAGTGGTATGGCTAATCGATAAAGAGCCAGATGTCTCTAATCCAAATATATATATATACATATATGCATCTCTCTCTCTATATATATATATATATAGAGAGAGAGAGAGAGAGAGAGTGTGTGTGTGTGTGTGTATGTGTGTATGTTTATGTACGGGTGTGGTTGTCTGTACCAGTCACTGTGGTTTAAAAAGATTAGCATGTGCATTCACAATTGAATCTATATATAGCATGTGTAAACTGCAACGTCGGGCTAGGGAAAATTGGATGATACTCGAGACAGTATTTACTTAGCAAGGGGACCCGACACGCTGACAATTATACACAGATCCGTAAGTCCTGCTGATGAACGCACTTCAGTTAACGCTTGGTCGAGTGAAATTTCGTGACTGAGAGCTTCTTATTTTATACCCAAGGTAATCTTGATCTGTATTTGTTGTTTTCTTCTTATTTTTTTAAAACAATAGTTCACTTGTAACAGACAATGGCGGGTGATTGTGTATAGGTATGGTTGGATGGTTTTTATACCTTCATTGCAGGCATCAGTGGCGTAGACCCCTCGGTATATATATATAAAGTATGAGGGGGGGGGGGGGTGCGCAAATCGAAAGTTTGAGGGGGGGGGGGGTGCAAATCAAAAGTCTGAGGGGGGGTGCAAATCGATAGTTTGTCCCCGGGTAAAAATTGGAACCCCCCCCCCCTCTTGAGACGATCCTGGCTACGCCACTGGCAGGCATACAATGCAAAAGTAATTATAATACTGCTATCCCCTTTCCTTTTTAATGCCTTGATATGTTGTTTCACAGACACATACATAACCTCCCCCCCCCCCTGCCAAACCCCTCTCCTATTTGTATTTCCAAACTACTACATACATGATGTGCCGACACACCAACGTTCTTGACGGCATTAAGATAGCTAAATGATGTAGGTTAACTAATAAGTCTTTATTAGTAATAAATTTTATAAAGCTTCTTTCTTTAATTTTCATTGATTGCCTCCCTGTGACCTTATTGTATTGCTAAATTGTTGTAAAATTGTCTATCCCTTGTATCAAATACCTATAGAAACGAAAGAATAGTCTCCCTTGTGCATTACCTCCCTTTTCAAGCAAGTAGAATTTCATAAGTCATAAATGTATTCTCATTTTAGTCCATATATGAAACCGCACACTTTAGTGAATGGAGTGGGTAGTTTGGAGAAGGAGGATAGGCTCAGAATTATGTGAGGATTCGATACGTGTGTTGGAGAGGGGGGGGGACAAGGTGAGCTTAAGAACCATGACGGCGACGGAGGTTTGTTGCACTACTTTAGTAAAGCTCCAATTTTTCTCTCAGGTCATAACGATCTGATTTGAGGTAGACTGCAGTTGATCAATTTATCTGGCTTAACATATAAGAAAGTTTTTTTTTTTTCGTCTGCAGGCAAACGTCAATTATAGACTTCGTTTAATTTTGTAGCATCCGTTAAATACTTGTGTGCTTACAAGATGACAGAGGCCGAGTACAGTGCTTTTAAACTACAGGTAAACACTGACATTCATTGAACTGAATTCCAGTTTACTAATTATAATAGACGGACCATAACGCAAGATGCATATAGGCTTCATATTGTAGTACACAGGTTATTTATTAGTAAATGAGTAAGGTAATACAGTCATAATTATGAGCTAACGTGGAATATGGGGTTCCATGACACAATGTCCTGAGATCATTTGTCCGTGAGATATTTTGTCTGAGATATTTTGTCTGAGATCATTTGTCCTGAGATCATTTGTCCGTGAGATATTTTGTCTGAGATATTTTGTCTGAGATCATTTGCCCCCCCCCCCCCCCCCCCCCGCGATGCCTCTGACCCAGTGGTAGACTGAGTGTTTAAAAGCGGACCGGGAAAAAAAAAACATCGTGCATCTCCAATATCACTTCACTCTTGCTGTCGGCTCATTGGGATTCGTCCCTGCGACCCTGCCCACTACAGTAAATCATATCAGTAGAAAAAAAAACTCGTCTTCTGTTTGAGACTTTAGTGATGATTGAATGTAAAATTTAGTTTTTAAAAAATCTGTAAATCTATGTTGTTTTATGTATCCGCTTTGATCCCTTTCACACCCAGACTCGCAAAGAATACGAACATCTCATCTATGAGTTTGAGCTGCGATGCCATAAAAATGCACTGATCAATAACCACGAGGCCTCGACCTACGCAAGAAGGGCTTACCTGACAGAAATTGTAGCCGCAATAATGGGTAGGCCTATCTAATTTAAAATTTAATATAGCCACGTCTAAAATAAAAATAAAAACGATCAATTTTTTGAAATATGGCTGGTAAAGAATCAGTGTGTTTAAATGTTTATATTTCTGATAACATACTTCTTAGATGTATTCGCTTATAATAAAGTCCTCCAGAGGCGTAGCCAATAGAGGCGCGAAGGCTCTGGTAGCACCACCGAAAAATGACGTCTATTTTTGCGATGAAAAATTAAAATGATCTCCAACGCCAGTAATAAAGAAAGAAAATACCTCACATTGTAGCAATAACGTGGTAAAAGTGTCTAAAGCCAATTGTGCACTACTCTACCTAGATTTTAATTTGTTCTTTAATATGCAGAAAATGTTATAGGCTACTTTAGTGGCGTCACTAGGTCGGGTGTTGCCCGGTGCTGTAATTGAGGGTTTTGCCCCATCTTCTCCAACAATTTTGCATTTTCGGTTTAGTGTTACCTCCTCTTCTATACTATTAAAAAGGCGTAACTTGGGGAGGACTTATTTAACAGTTTTCTACATCAGTTGTGTGACACAAAATTAAAAAGTGAATAGCGACCCGACCAATCCGAATTCGGGGTGGAGGAAGGGAGGGGGCAAATTGATAGTTCGTAACAGGCGCAGAAATGGACAGCTACGCCTCTGCTTCATCGTGTGTGCCTGTAGACTTCCGTTAATGGTTTAACAATTTGTATTACATAGGGGCTTTTGCCGTCACAAGCCTCGGGGTGTGGCTTGCGCAGAAGACAGCGGATTACTCTGTGTATGCTGCCAACTGGGGCTACCTAGGCATCTTCGCGGTGGGCGTGGCGTTCGTCCTCCAGTTTATCAGCAAAGGGAGCGAACGGGTTCTGCCATCTTTCAGGTTTGTGTCATTACGCAGACATAGGTTGGGTTGGGGTGGGGGGGGGGGGGGGGGGGTGGCAGAGAGCATTTTACTTTCCGTTGCAGCGGGGGGGGGGGGGGCGAGATTTTATACTTTTAAATTTAATATGGGTTGGAGACAGAACATTTTTGACTTTTTAAAGTAGGCCTACGTGAACACGGGAATGGGCGGGTACGACGATATAGCTTTAGATTTTACACGACGAACATAAGCGACAATACAAATATTAATTATGCTGCTAGCCAAATCATCAGCCGCTGTCTGTTTTAATTGCAGCAAACGGGCAGAAGGTCACATCAAGGCTGCCGGTGCCTGGCAGATGTTGGCACAAAAAGCCATGTCGTACAGGATCAGGTTAGACAACCCTACGCTCGACGTTAAAACGTAAGTCTTGCTTGGTGATTATCGTTACTGCTTGATTTTTCTGGGCAACTTTAAAATTTGTTCGTGTCGTGATGTCCTAGCTGACCGTGAGAGGAGGTCTGTGTCACTGAAGAAGTTGTTCATGTGAGATGGTGGTTTTAAAAAGTGGACGAAACTTACATAAAATATGTTGATTTTAAAAATTGTAATCACTATTGTAAGCGGGGTTTTTGTGAAGATAGGTGGGGTGTTTTGTGTTTGTATGTATCTGTGTGTTTGTGTGTGGGTTGGGGGAAGGAAGAGTTTCTCTTCCGGGGGCGGAACATGTCCTCCCCCCCCCCCCCCCCCCACAGAAAAAGTAGGCTGTATAGTTTATTTAGAAACTACATACTTTAAACCAGTGTCCTCCCGCCTCCCCCAGAAATTTAAGTGCCCTCCACCTCGGAGAAAACGTCTAAGAGAAACAGCAGAGGGGGTTGGGGGGTTAGTAAAAGTCGACTAAAATAAGGAGGATTGGGGAGACGATGTAAGACAGTGGTAAAGGGGGGGGGGGAGAAGGCGGGCATTGGTAAAAGTATAATATATTCTCTATATAAATCCTGGTTCGTTCGGGGGGGGGGGGGTGCCCACCCGAAGAGATGTGTGACAGAAAAAGTAAAATTGCCTCACGTTCAGAGTTTCTTCCAGGCACCTCTTCGGGGTGGGGGCGGAGCCCGAAATAGAATTTATATAGAAAATATATACTTTTACCAGTGTCCCCCCCCCCCCCCCCCCCCCGAAATTTTAGTCCGCCCCCTCGAAAATTTCAAGCGACCCCCTTGAGAAAAAAAGTCTGGAAGAAACACTGTTCACGTTAATGGACAACTCATTTAAGAAGAACCCAAAAGAAGCGTGCTACTGTTGTCATACACAACCTGTTGATTTTATTAGTGTCCGGTGCCAAGGTTTAAAATTTAAAAGTTTGCTCCATGCTAGCTGTCATGAAGCAATCGATCTATCTATATAATATTTGTTTCTGTTCACAGCTACGCTGAGTGGTATGATGACCTAATTACTCAGAAAGAAGAACTTAACCCCATTGTGATCAGCCACGGGGCCACTTTCCAAAAATACGATGACCCGGAAGTGGTTTACAATGAACTCAAGAAACGTAAGATGCTGCTGATAAGGTATAAGGAGCTGGATGAGGCGAACAAAGTTGACAATTTAGCGGAGAAATTGTGAAGCACGACAATTTTTAGCAGTTTGCTTACAAAACAAAACTTACCAAAAAACTCATGTGGCAACAACATACGTAAAGTGATGATTGCTTGCTGTGGTTTACCCAGCTTTACTATTAGGGGCTTCATTAACGACATGACGCTTTAAAAAATGAATTTTACCATAACCCTTCCCTACAGTAACAAATCAGAATCCGACAGTTTTGACCTTTATAAATAGTTGGTAGACTAGTTGGTTCGATTACATAAATATCAGTTTCAAGCATCTCTACAGGCCCCCCTCCCCCCCCCCCTCTTCACGAAATAGAAAAATAATTACAAGCATGAACATTTTGGCAACCAATGCCTTTATTAAAGAAATCAAATTCGTTATATTTTCAGTTCATTTAAAAGCTAATTTGTAATACTGTACATGTTTTTTTTTTTACATTTGTTTTAATTCAAGTGTAGGCTTCCGGCGGGGATGACTTGTGGCTTCATTGGTTAAATTTTGCGCCAATTAAGTTAATGTATTGGATATTTCAGCTCTTTAGGATTTGGTCAGATTAGGTGGCTGGTCCGATTATACCAGACTAGACTGTACACGTTGAACAACTACTGAACGGAAATGTTCCATACAAAAAATAAATACATTTTAGACATTATTGTGACTAAAAATCCCCCCCCCCCCAATGTATAAGTTTTTTTTAGAAAGTGCACGTTATACAATTTTGTTTTAATTTTTGATTGATGAAAAAAGTAATGTTAATTTAAAAATTATACTCTTTAAATATTCAACATGCTTTTCAGTTAAGTGCTTTGAACATAAAAGGAATTTTTGTGTACTATAACACTTTTAAAAGTCTTATTTTTAGTATATAAGATGGAGGGTTTGCTTGTACCAACGGAGAGGTTTAATTCTATGTAACCATAATAATGACATTATGGTAATATTGGCAGAAAAAAAATGTATTTAGAGACCAAATCATGCCCTGTATTCTAAAATGCCAGGTGATGTCAGTATTTGAAATATGACTAAACAATAGTTTACAAAAAAAAAAAATGAAATATTCTATAAATGATTCTATATTTTTATTGGTTGACCTTTGACCACACACATATTTTAATGGCAGTTTTTTTCCTCCTCATGTTTATAATAAAAAAAAAAGAAGACTGGTCTGAATATAATAAAACAACATAAAAATAATATAGAGGAAATGACTGTGATCACACAGTTTACAACACCTAAGACAACACAGAGTTATGGAAGAAATTTCTTACACAATCTGGACACAGACAAGATATTGGAGAAATTGCATGAACAGTTTCAATTATTGAAAGAAAAAAAAACTATATATGAAAGTATAGATACAAAACATGAGTTAAAATAGAATACTGTTATTTGAAGAAAAGAAAAACTTAAAAATCGATCCAGCTCTCTTCAACACATAGCTTGTTATACTGCTGATGAATGAAAACAAAAAGACACTTACATACAAGAGGTGACACACTTACTAATAATCTCATTTTACTTATTACACATAAAGCAATAGATAAAATGGTTTACCGAAGTAAATAGATATGATTTTTTATATGACATATGCTAACAACTATACACATTAATCCAAAATATGAAATCAGTAGCCTTATAGATAATTCAAAAAGATTTTGAAAAATTAATTTTTTTTTAAAACAAGCTAGGGAAAAAAATATCAGATCTTTAGGTTTTATTCTAATGCATCTAAAGCAATTAACAGCATACATTGGTTTTTATACAAGAAAAATATGTAATTTACATCTTTAAAGTGACAAAAAAATTCTGTTAAAAACAAATTATCATCGCCACCGTATTCACAGAGAATTGTTGAAATACTAACGCAGGAGTTGAACCAAGTAGCAGTAATGTGTGTGTTTTGCAGCTAAGAAAGATGCTCACTATTGTATAAACACAATGTACAACGTCACCGAATACAGCTTGATTGGATTAACCCTCAAGCTGCTATGACGAACGAGGTGCTCAAAATTTTTTTTGGATATGTCACACTACTTTAACAAAAGCAGTTTTTTAAAAACAAATTTCACATCACTTATTTTTAAAACGTATTTTAAAAATTACTATGCAAAATATATTTTCTATTAATGTCAAGGGGCCCCTACCCTAAAACACTCATAATTAAGTAGATTTGCTCCATACTGTTTTTATAGAGGGAAAAATGTATAACATTACATCTTGTTTTATTGTTCTGTGCTCTTTATCATTCAAATGATTCTTTTGTTTTCAAAAAGAATTCAACATCCCTAAACAGTGTTCAAGAAATTTAGATAAGCACAACATATTGATAACATTATTATGACTAGAAATATCAGACCAAAAACAACTTAAGTATTTTTTATACAAAAGATTGCATTTTCTTAAATGTTACAAGTATAATAAAATAAGACATATCTTTTGAAGACAATTTGCTTTCAGTAAAATATATAAGCAATCATTTAGCAAAATTTAAAGAATGCTAAATTAAAATCCAAAAGATTTTGATGCTAATACATTGTTTTGATGTATGTCTGTTATGAAAATGTTAAGAGATTTTTTTTTAACATAACACAACCCAAGGCTTTTAAAGTTATACTGATGCCAAAAATTTGAAATGTAAAAAAAAAATCTTACCACTTTGGTTCCCTAAAAGTTACACACTTGATATTTTATGCATGCACAGAAAGTGAATTAACATTAAATGTGACTACTGAGGAACATCAAAATAAGCTGGGATGTTTAATTGTCAATTTTTATGGCATAATCTTTTACAAATTCATTTATTATTTAGGTAACATAGACATGTACTGTTTATATTTACATTACAGTTTATATCTAGTCTTAAAAGTTACACACTTCAATGTATCTTTTATATACAAAAATGCAAGCAAGAAATATACTGAACATTTATACCCAAATGCAGTTAGTCATTCTCATGTTTGCAACTTAGAAAGGGCAATTATTCATTGGCCAGGAAATAAATTTTGTGCAAAAAAATAAATAATAAAAAATAAATCAACAATCAAGTACAAGTTTTTTTTTTAAATTGTTACTTACAAACTATTTTATATTTTTAAAACTTAGAAGTATCTCAAATTAAAAACATGTAGAATGTTTTCTGAATTTAAAAATTCAATGAATGAACTTTAGAAAAGCTGAAAATGTACTTTCTAAATTAAAATTTATATTTGGGTTAAAAGCCACAAGCAATGAAGTGAGATTCTAATAGAAATTTGACATCCAGAATATAATACAAGTTTTATCTAATGCCATTCAATTACATTTTCTTATCACAGTGAACGACATTTGTGTATATAAAGCTGATGATGAAATTTTGGCAGACCAAATACTGACTGCTAAAATAATTTGACTACAATAAAATTATTGGTCTGTAGATTAGGACAATGGATTTGCCCATGTACTAGTATTCTATAAATATTTAGACAAGTACAAACCTTACTGTAAATAAGTGCTAGAACCTTTATGTAAATAATCATATAAAACATATAAATCAAACTGTTACAAATTAAATAAATTTACCTAAGCATGAAAAACACAATGTCAGCTTCAATTTTCTTTAAAATAACAGCTTAAATCAGGAAAAATTATTGTACAAAAAACTACAAACGCAAGTGGGATATTTTCTCCCACATTATGTACATAAAAAAAGATAAGTTATAAGAAAGTGTCAAAGACTAATTGTATATGATTATGATTTTTGAAATACATAAAACTAATATACAGTTTAGTTCATAGAATAATAATCCAGCATCTGTCATGAGACAAAACCTTTGATGAAAGATTGACTGAGGATGTTTGAAATACTTGAAACGACTCACAACACATCACTTGAAAAGGGCAGAGAGGATCTCTTCAGTGGAGATATGTACTGCTTGATCTGGTCCAGGCTGACAGGGATGTAGACATCTACACAAGATCACTTTGATTACATTTAACAATATCTAGAAAACACTTGAAACAAGGAATTCAGTTATCTTTGGTAACATCTAGTAAATGGTCAGATTTAAGTTAACTAGTTATTTGGTCCAGGAGCTAAATGACCAAACCCTTGTCCATCTATAGAGCTAGAGAATCCCATACTTGATGGGTGTGGTGGGTATCCATACCCACCCCCCATCATTGAGGATGGCATCATGGGCCACATAGGGCTACCCATAGGTGGGGGCCCAGGTGGTGCAGGGCCACCCATCATTAGAGGTGACATGCCAGGATAGCCCAGAGGTGTTTGTGAGTAACCCATCATGGACTGTGGTGGAGGCATGATTGGCGCAGATGAAAATGGAAGGGTGGATCCACCTCCGTATCCAGACCCAAAACCTCCAAAGCTTGAAGCGTTTCCATAGCCACCAGCACTGCCTAGCCCACTAGGACTACTAAATGCACTCATACTACTATTGTAATTTAGACCAGAGTTTCCCATGCTGCTAATTCCACCTGTTCCATCCAGTCTAAATGGTTGCGGATTGGCAGGACTTTGATGGGCTCGGAAAGCACTTCCCCCCATACCAATGTCACTTCCTAAAGAATGGCCCAGCAGCCCACTAGACAGGCTGCTGTTTACATTCGGCCCATGGTAACTGCTAAATCCACCAAGACCAGAATTTGAGTCAAAGCTAGGGAAGTTCATGCTGTTGCTCATGCTTTCCACATCCTGGCTGAGGCTGGAGGGGTACGGCTGGGAGCTACCACTACTGCTAGGATATGCCTGAGAGCTACTGCTAGCGCTTGAAGCAAACGGCTGAGATGTATTATTGCTGACACCATGAGATGGTCGACTGTTAGAAAGATCCATGAAACTTTTACTGTTTTCTGGCGTGTGTGTTGTATGCCTGGGGCTTGGTGCAGGGGATGGGGTTTTGTTGCTGCTCCCTCGAGGTTTGTTCGGGTTGCTCTGAGGTTTGTTCACGTTTGGACTGCTGGTGCCAGAGCTGACTGGAGGAATAACCTTGCTCTTCTTGGAGGAGGAGGAGCTCGTTTTGGGGCGCTGTGATGATGGTTTGCTGGACTTTGAGTGGCCAGGGGTGTTAGATTCTGACCCTAACAGAGTCAGCGAGAAAGGACTGTTATCCCTACTATTCCTTCCAATGGCCGATAAACCTGAGTCTTGGTAATTGGGAGTGGTGGATGTGTGAGATGAGGACTGTGAGGGGAACGACTCGCTGGGGCCATCCATTCCAAACGCAGGACTAGTATTCTGGTGGAAGTTTGGCGCTGGTGGGTAGTTCTGCTCTCCCTGCGATTGAGACATAAATGAAGATGACGTCGTGGGCGGGGCACCATAGTTCATCCCACTCATCTCTGAGCCGAACCCGAATGGCGTGGAGTTGCTTGGGACCTGGAAGTTACTGCCACTGGCGCCAAAAGGTGGAGGGTTTTGTTGGCTGTGGCCAAAGGATGAGAACTGAGAATTAGATGAGCCGTACATACTGCCCTGGTGAGATGGGTTAGACACTGGATCTGATGGTGGAGGGGGCAAACTTTGACTAAATGATCCAGGAGGTGAGGGCATGAAGCCTGAATGCATATAAGGTGGCATATGATGCTGCATTGATCCCAGCCCTTGCCCGATCATTGACGGAGGGGGGCCCATACCGTAAGGGCTCATATTACTTGTCATGTATGGATTGTTCATGCTGTTGTATCCTTGATTGGTTGTGTTGTGAGAACTGTTGAAGTTGCCAATTTGATTGGACCCAGTCATAATATTTTGATTTGAACTATTTGAACTGCTGTCAATGTTGCTATTTTCTTGACCAGCGGACATTGGCGCAGGTGTTGAGTTGGGCATCATCATGCCTCCACTGTAGCTGTTGGTGCTTACAGGAGCACTGGGTGGGTTTTGGGAGGATGAGGCACCAAAATTGCTTTGCCACATGCTGTTGAGGTCTGGGAATGCAGATGAATGTGCTGGTGCCTTGGGCTGAGATTCTGGTGTGGTCTGGACAGGTGGACCAGAAGAAGTTGGTGTCTGGGCCTGTGTTGTTGTACTTGGTATTGGGTCTGGAAATAGAAATCATGACGGTTTAATAAAAGAATTGATCATCGCTTATAATTATAAAAAAGAATAACATGAAAAAGAACAGGTTACACAGCATGACTATGCAATTGAATAAACAATAATAGCCCCCCCCCCCTATAGTTTGTTACAAAAAGCTGAAATGTAAAAGGAATAAACACAAGTGTAATAAAATGTGCTGAACACCAAAATGACTTACTTGAAGCTGCTGCTGAGCTAGGTGATGTAGCAGTGGAAGCAGAGGTTATGGTTCCCGAGGCACTAGCAGAGGGTGTGCTAGTGGTGGACGCCACACTCATATTAGAGAGCAGGCTCACTCCTTTCTGTTTGGTTGTTGGCCCAACCCTGATTTCTTCCACGGTGCTGGGAGAAGGGCTGTCCTTACTTGTGGCCTTCTTTCTGGGACGTGGATTTTTCGGGGCTCTTTTAGTTCCCATGGAAACGACTGGTTTTGTGGGCATGATGACCACAGTTCCACCGCCAGGTGAGGTTGTGGCTATGGTGGAGGACTGGATACTGGACAGTGGCCTGGGTGTTCTGACAGCCAGGGATGGGAGGACAATGACAGGTCTCTTGGGGGGAGATTCTTCAGCCTGGGTGGAGCCGTCACTCATCTTCTTTTCACCACTACCTTTAGAGTCCTCGTCTTCGCTGGCAATCAAATCAGCCAGGGAGGTCACCTTTTCTCCCGTTGAAGTAGAAGCAGAGGATTTAATAGCGTTGCTAGCTGTCAGTACTGTGCTGTCACCAGATTTATTTATACCTAAAAATAAATTGCATATGGGATTATAACCATTGAAAAATAATTTTGATCACAATATTTGGGATCACTCCATCGATGTTAGGTATAAACTAACCTGTTCTCAAAATGGAAGGTTTTAAAGAGTTCAAAATATTAGTAGTTCCATAAGGTAAAGTACGTATGATGCTACCTCCTCTAGTCATGGTAATGGGCATTCCTTTCTTGTTGCTTACAATAATGATAGGTGGTTTTTTACCACCAGCACCTATGTTCATACTGGGAGTTATAAACACTGAGGAGAAAAAAAAAAGTTTCATAAATATAACAATGGGGTACAACACAAATTATCCTACAGAAATAATGTCTTTAAATAAACATGTTATAAATGTTTGACCCATAGTCTCAATAAAGCTAAATGCTACACAAAGTAGTGCCTGAATACATATGTGGTTTTTAAAAGTATTAAAAAATAAAGTGTAGGGTAATTATATGATTATTTTGTGGGTTTCAGCAACTAAACCTGTTACTGTTTTGTCCTGAATTGCTATACTATTTATAGTTAAAATTACAATGTTTTGAGATGACTAAACTCAGCTAAATGGAAGTAGAAGTGTTCCACTTTCTTTTCCTTTAAAACCAATTTGTTAGGAAATTAAAGTTTTGAAGATCACTTGTAAGCCACTATGATTAGTCTGCCACTAATTTTAAAAATAACTACCAAATATGTTTTCTCTAAAACTGCCTGATAAATAATCACCCAAAACAAATCACACAGCCCCACACTAATTATTCAGAAATTCACGATAGAATCTTACTCTGAGGGTACTAATGGATATAAGAAAATGTTTTATATTTTCTATCTGAAAATTTATTTATACTTTTATATGTCGTAATTTATTGATCACATTATGCTTAGATAAATGAAGTGTTTTTAAATATAAAATTGGCTGCTAGTGGTTTTTAAAAATAAAGCTATTCTCTCAAAATTTTTTACAGCACAATTTATAAAAATCTGATTCAAAATAGACTTCAGACTTCCGGTTCAGTTAACGAAGTTATTTGACCTGTTAAGATTAGGGTCATTCAATAAGATATTACCTTGATTCCCACCAGCAGAAGTGAATGTAGTTGTGGCTGTCGTGGTGGTCACACCTGATGTTCCCCCAATGTCGGTCAGGCCTGCCCCCGTCTTTGACCTCACAGCAAACATCTTCCCATCATTAGTTCTGATGTACACACCTTTGGGAGTCTTGATGACTAAAATTTTTTCACCTGCTCCTATTTTATTGTTAACAGACGCACCAGCTTGTGTGCCTGTGTTTGTCCCAGGCAAAACAATATCTGGAAACACAATGGCTTTTGTCAAAAATGCTTGACTAATGCATCATTCAGATAGTTTTAAAATCTGACATCAAAGGTAGGGGAAAAATTTAATACAAACCTGTTGTTGTGATGACCTGATGGATGGTCACTCCTGGCCTTAAGGGCTGACCACCAAATTGTTTGATTTTCTCACCACCATTTTGAACATTAGCGGCTATCATGGGGCGAACACTGGCGATGGGGCGGACAATGGGGCCACGTCTGAATGCAGCATAGCTTAAAAAAATAGAATACCAACATTAACTGCTGTTCAAACAAAACAAAAAAATCTTTTGTCTATTTAAAAAACTATTTCAATTAAAAACTAGACTAATGCTTAATTTATACAACAGATTTTTAAGAAAACATTTAAATATTAGAAACATTTCATACAAACTGATCTAGTATTTTTCTGTTAAATTATAACATACTTGTATCTGCTATTTAAGGGCAATCTGCTGGGCAGCCCTCCAGGTTGTGGGTAATATGCTGCATACGTTGGTCGTGTGTATGTCACATTCATTCTCTTATCCCTTGCATAACCCTCTTTGGCCAGCCTTTTCTCACGTTTAGACAATCTCAGCTCCTTGCGATCAATCAGCAGTGACTCATGTGTAAATGGTTGCTGAAACCATAAAAAACTGATCAGTACATGTAAAGAGTTGAATGTTATATTAATGAGAGACAAAGTTTAAAAAATATATACCTTAGTCAGCCACTTTCCATGTTTTTCTAGAACATTGACTAAGACTGTATCATGGCTGTATTTGGTGGAAGCTGTAGAGAAATCTACAAGTGGATACTCCTGGTCCTGCAATCATTTATGAAGCAAAAGATTTATTAAACACTGGAAAGTGAAACATGATGCACATGTATTTTTTATTTTATGGACAGTATTAAAATTTCAAACTGAACACTAACCTCAAAATCAAGCAAATTCTCCACTTGTCTGCGTGTTAGTTTGTTTTCTGGGTTCATGTCATCAATAATCCTGTCTGTGTTGAAAAATCAATCAATGTTATTATCTATGTATTTGACAAAGAACGAACAAAAAAAAAAATACTTGGTGTAAAATACAAGAAATGTGATAGTTTAACAGAAAACTTGCAAGATGTATATTAAGTTTACATACCAGACATTCCCTGCTTGTTGATTTGTCGATCATAGATCCTCTTTTCTAGTGTGTTTTCTGTTATAAGTCTGTAGACGTATGAGTTTTTCATCTGACCAAATCTGTACACACGGCAAATAGCCTGGCAATCATGACATGGGTTCCAAGAGGCATCAACAACAATGACACGGTTAGCAGCAACTAAATTGATTCCTAGGCACCCAGCTCTGAAAAACAGACAGTATGTAATTGTGAGTTAACTTTAAATTTAACTACAATTAAATAAAGCAGAAATGACTAGTGAGATAATGGTGCATAATTTCTAGGTCCACGACTTGCTAGCACACATTTAGGACTGATTTCTAGATTTAAAGTGTTTGATATAAAACATACTGAGTTAGTAGGCCACCCCCATTTCTGTTGCGTGGTTTGTAAATTAATATTTAGTTATTTTCAAGCTTTAAAAATTATCAACACTCAAAGATGTTTTTCCTGAATCCAGCAAACTAGGTAGCATGTCTAGGGGTATAAAACAAGTGTTTTTTATTTAAATTATTGGATGTCAAGAGCTGTAAAAAACAACAACACTTACTTGGTTGAGAGAAGAAAAACCCAAATATTGCTTTCTGGATCATTAAACTGATTGATAAGCTTCTCTCTATCTTGGGCTGATGTACTTCCATCCAGTCCTAGAAACACAATATTAAAATTAGTTCAGATGATACATTTAATATACTTGGTAACAATTAATCAGAATAAAATTTATAAAATGGCATTAATTTTAAGTAGTCTGGAAAAAGACAGTAACTTACTGAAATATGTTTTGTTGCGTTGCCAGTTCTCCATAATCTCAGGTCTGGGAACCTTTAACTTGCCCATGAACTCTTCTATTTTATTTAACGTCAGCAAACTTTGACTATGGAAAAATGAATGATATATAAATCAAGATTTTCCAAACTGCAAGAACAACTGCGATCAGAAATATCAACACACAAAATTTACATTAAAATAGTGCTCTACAGTTAAGGCAATGAATTTATAATGAAACATTGTGTACCTAAATATCAGAACCTTATCACCAACAGCTAGACATTCTTCTACAATGGAGTTCATTATCATAAACTTGCCACTGTTTTCTAGGAGACCAGCAACATAGTCTTTCATCAAAGGTTCAGCCTGAAAGAAAAAAAAACAATTTTGTAAACAACAACCCATTTTTAAATATTTAAGATCTGCTTCATGATCTATTTCTAGCAAAGAATCAATAATTATATATAAAAAAAAAAAAACCAAATTGAATTCACATTAACTTATGTTTTAATCATTTTTTCTTCATTTTAACAGTTAATTTATAAATTAAATTTAAAAAAAAAAAAGTAGTTCTCACCCAGTCATAAACTATAGGATTTTTATCATTTCCACCCTCAGATGCCATTGAGCCCAAGGAAGCAGTGGAGGCTGAAGGTGTTAGTGTAGAGGTGGCAGCTGAATCAACAGAAGACAATGACAGTGTAGACGCAGCTTTGGTTAGACCTGGGACCTTTTTCTTTTTGTTTGTGCCACCCTCACCAGTATCAATATCAAGGTCATTATCCTTGTCTGCGATGTGTTGGGTCAGGACATCATATAATATATCAGGATGGTTCCATATCTAAAACAAGACAGCAATTAAACCAGAGTGAAAATCATGGATCCATTTTGACTGACTGTAAGTATTTAAAAATCAACAGAGACAGAAAACATAATTTATTTGAGTAAATATAAAAACTTGAGCAGATACGTTTCAGAATTAAACTGTAAAATTTTAATTTAAATATTTTGGGTAAAATTACACACAAAAAGTTATAATTAAAAATATTTTGCAATGGAAATGGAGACCTTACCTTACAACAGACAGCAAAAGCTTTGAGAGGGTTGTTATTAGCCCAAGAACAAAGACCAGACTCCGATATGGCATTCATAAATTCACAGTAGATTTTGTGTTGTATTGGACTCAGGCGGACAAGGAAAACATGCTCTGTTTTTGGTGGCAGGCTAAGCTGAAGCACTGTGTGACCACGCCTGAAAAAAAAAAGCCCTCAATGAAATTAAGTTCCCCTTTATGACCTCACTATCTATAGGGCAGATAAAATTCCCTCAACAATAAATTACTTAAAATTCTACAGTGTCATTTTATATTAGGTAGATATGCAACTTACCTTTGTACAAAACCCTCAAGTAAATTGTGTAGGACATAGGAGCGGTGTCTCATTATTTTCTTATCTGAATTTGTACTATCCATACACTGGCCGTTCATTATAGGGCGCTCAAACATATTGCTGAATTCAGTTTTGGTACCAAGGAAGTTGGGTCTCACAAAGTCTACCATGCACCAGTATTCCATTAAATTATTTTGTAGTGGATAACCAGTTAACACAACACGACGCCTATTAAAAAAAATAGTCCAAATTGCATTAATATTGAATAAATGTAGAAAAACTGAAGGCATGTTGTATTTATGGCCAACCATTTTATTTATTACCTCTGGGTAATATTTTTTTAAAAGTGTTCATGATAATCTCATATGAGAATACTTACTTAAAAATAAGCAGAAAACATGCAGGCTTATTTTTAATAATATTTAAAATACTATTTTTATTTTATGCAACAGTGTACTGTGAGCAAAATTTATTAGTCTATTAGGTGAAAGAATAAAAACCATTCTTACCTTGTTTTTATATTTTTGAGTGACTGAGATATTGCAGCACTACTGTTTTTGATTCGATGGCCCTCATCACACACAACTAAATCAGGACCAGGGTCGACTAAAACTCCATGCATATCTGGAATAAAATGGTTAAGAATTATTACGATGGAATGAAATTATGAGCGTAGAATTAAACTAAACTGAAAACTACTCAACAATTAGGCTCGATATGAAAATACATAAATTGCAATAGTAGAATACTAACCAATCATGAGGGTTTTATTTTTATCCTCTTCTTCAACATCTATAACTTCAGGTTTTACTGGCTTCTTTGACCTGCTTTTGGCTTTACTTGGAGCGACTTTTTTAGATGACAAAAGTCTAAACATTTCATACCCCATCAATAGCACCCCTCCGGTTTCTTTCCATTTTCCTACAAAGAATTTTTATAAATAAAATGTAAACAACTTTAAAAAAAAAAAAAATTTCCCCCCAAAGAACCTTATCTAAGTGATGCAGAAACCTCAGTTGTATGTTTTAAAGCATAAAAGTGCTGTGCACATGTCTCACCTACTACTGAAGCTCTGGCAGCTGTAGTTTTTAAACTGTCATTGATAATATAGATCTGGAAAGTCCTGCTCTGAGTCAGGTTATCATCAGGGTGAAGCTTCTCTTTAGGTGGCAGCCAATAGTTAAACTCAGCCAGCCAGTTTTGTAGAGTATTGATAGGTACTATACACAGAACCAGCTTACCTCCAGTGCAGCGCAGGAAAATGTCGATGAAAGATATTAGCTGTAAAATGTATGATTAGAAATTATTTTTTTAATTACTAAAGCTGAAAAAAAATATTTTTTTTTTTCAAAAAAATACTGTATCAGCCAATGCTCTAATGGTTAGCAATTAAAATACTAATGGAATATAGAAGTTATGAGCCTGTTATTTACCTGAATTGTTTTTCCTAAACCCATACTGTGGGCAAGTATACAACCAAATCCTGGAGTGGTTCTGAATCTCTCTAGTGACTCCACCATGTTATCATAAAGAAACCGCACTCCACCAATCTAACAAAAATGTACTCAATAATATACATCTAAATCAACATTTTTACAAGACCCTAAAAACATTTGATCAAGATAATATATATTTATAAAATTTAATTATCAAAGAAGTTCAACTACAATCTTATTAATTTTATAAGAAAAATTTTCATCATTAATTTAATGTCACGATTTTATTTTCTTTAGTGCTAAAAAATAAGGATACGATAATTTCAAAGGTAAACAGCAAAAGATTTTTAACATCCATACCTGATGTGGCTTGATAGCTTGTGCAATTTGTGCAGCCAGATATATATCTGGGTCATCAGGGGGATGTCCTATATTGACCTTGACCCTGCCATCAGGATCAGGAAGGTTTAAAGCATCATCTATGTGTGCTCCTCCATTGTTGACATCCTCTGGGTCTTCATCATCTTCTTCACCTTCATCACTAGGAACCATAACTACTTCATCTGAATCATCTTCATCATAATCATCAGAGTCCTCAGACTCACTGCTCAACGTGATCACATCTAGAAATAAGAAAAGGAAATTTCATGTTTATGTTAAAAACAAAATGTGTTACAATCATTCAGAAGAACACTCATTTGTATGTTATTAATGACAAAATAAAATACTAAAACCTGAGGGTGGTGAAGTTTCTCTGGTCTCTTTTTTAACTTTCACAACTTCTTTATCCAAGAGCTTTCTCTCTTTGCTTTCTGCTTCCTTCTCTGCCTCTTCCTCAGCAACTATAAACATGTTAAAAATATATTTATATACATATTTTAAAATTATGCTTCTATTTAAAAAAAAAAAAAGAAAATATAAATTATAATATATAATATAAATTATTAAAATTCAGACATTAAGAAAATTAAGATAACACTGACGAAAAATAAAACTGCATCAGGAATGGCAATCTAAACTACATAATCATATGAGAATATTTTTAGCCTTAGTATTTAAGTCAGCCTATGGTTTAACAAACATTTCCTGAAGACTCAAAACCATACCTTGCAGTAAGGACTTTAACTGAGAATCTTTTTCCTTTGGTGTTGATGTGCCAGTAGAGGCAGTAGCAGTTTTGACAGAAGTTGATGCAGAGGCAGCCGCACTGGAAGCAGCCGCTGCAGCAGCTTTGGCAGCAGCGGCCGCAGCTCCGGCAGCAGCATTTTCACGCAGCAGAGACTTCTTCAGCTCCATTAAACGTTTCTGACGCTCCAACTCTTCATTCTGAGCTGAAAGCATATCCTTGTCCAAGTCTTTTTCTTTGAGAATAGATCTGTGAATTCATTACCCAAGTTACATTTAATCAAATTTGGAGCGTAATAGGTTTTTGTTTGCAGTACATACAACCAGCTTGTTGGCATTATCAACATTAATGCAAACAGAACAAAATGGTAAAGTAACTTTTGAACTTTATAAAGTTTGAAGATAAACCTTGAATAATATACTATTTAATGTAAATATGATAAATTGTGATCTTCCAAGACCAAATAACTAAATAGGAAAATGTTACAGACCTAATGTTCTTTCTCCTCATTAGTGTTGTTCCACTTTTGAGTAGCTTGTCATCTGGTTCATCATCATCATCGTCATCATTTTTAGACTTCTTCCTTTTCAGCTTTCTCTTCTTTCTAGCCTTCTTTCTCCCTTTGTCAGGAAAACTCATTTTACGCTTTTTACCTTTAGACTTTTTAGCCTTTTTGTCAATTTTCTTTTGTTTTTGTTTTCCAACATCTAAAGAATTACTTGAAGCAGATTCTTCATCATAAAATGAAACTTGTCCAAACACACCATCTTCTTCCATATCATTTTTCTTCTCATCCTCCTCAGTATTATCCTCCCCTTCTGTTGCATCATTATCTTCATTCTCTTCTTCTTCTCCCTCCTCCTCTTCTTCAGTTTCTTCCGATTCATATTCTGTATTTTCATCCTCTTCCTCTGTATAGCTGCCTTCTGAAAGATCTTGCTCCTCAAGAAATGCTAGATCATCATTATTGACATCAATCTTCCCCTCCCCCACAAGAAAGGAAAGGCCAGGATCATCTTCATCCCCAGTAGTCTCTTTAGCTTCAGCGCTAGCTAAAAATGCCAGGTCAGTGGCCAAACTGGCCTCATCCACAGAATTCTCCTCCATCTCTTCCCCAACGGTGTTGGCCAACTCTAAAATATCACTTTCTATCATTTTTAACTCTCTTGGCTTCTCTTTCTGTTCACTGAGAAAAGATTCTAAAGAATCTGGCATAATGTCCGTTGCCAAAGCTTCTGTTGTGCCAGTTACCGGGTCAACAAGGTCTGTAACTTCCTCCATGTTTAATCAAAAGATATCTGGGGGAATAAACAGAAAAGGAAAATTTTCAAATGGACCAACTAAAATCAAGGGTGTACAGCAGAGCTCAACTGCATTTTTTAAATCTGTGATAAAAAATAAATCAATTCTGGTAACAGAAATAGAGAAAAGTTGCTGTCTTAATCATGTAGGTTGGAAGTTATACAGAATAAATGTTAGCCATTGCAGTTATTCAAAATACAGTATATAGAAATCGACCAGTCTCGATCTGCATAAGGCCCATAACACTACTGACAGAGGTAATTTGTCAATAATGCAAAAAAACCTGCTCACTATTTAAAAACATAAAAAACACACCCACAATAAAATATGAACAAACTGCAAACTAATGAATGAAATGCAAATTTTATTTATTAAATTCCAATTAAAAAACAAGAAAACCACTTTGTTTAAGTTGTTCTAGAACTAAATGAAACACTTTCCCTTATCACCTCACTCACATTACATAAAAACTATTGTCGTGTGTTAGTGAAAGTAAAGAAAACACTCAACTGAAATTTATCCATCTTACATAGGCTTATCACTCTAAAAAAAAAAAACCAGGCTAGAAAATCTAAAGTATTTTTAGATTACGCATGTATTGACCATATTCAACCTCATTTCTATAGGCTAAGCTTAAACAATATTTCGAAATATGATGAGTGATAAAAATCTAGACATAGATTAACAAATTACTATAGGCCTACAACTTAATTTATGTGATGTAGCTTAGGCTAAGGTTGTATTAGATCTAGACCTAATCAGTTTTACAAACTGTGATTTTAATGGTAGGTCCAATTCTCACCCATTGTGATTCAAGGCTATACTCGAGGATTGCATTTAGCAAAGTGAATGCTATGGGAAAAGGTAATACGTAGCCTACATAGATATAATTTGCCTAGGCTAGGCTGACAAAAAAAGAAAGATTGTTTGGTTAGCCTAGTGACAAATGACTAGGCCTCAAAATACTAAAACAATATAGGCCTATAAAATGTGTTTAGTGGTAGTTCACTGAGGATAATAAAGTTCAGCTAAATAAATGTAGGTTTCTAGTTTAATGCAGTGAAGTACTGCTGTTCTATGTCTACTAGTAGATCTACTACTCACCCTCAGTAGTGACTAGATCTAGTGTTGAGCCTTGATGTGCTTAAAGACTAAATTCTAGACTAGAATCTAGAAAATCTAGATCTAGACTAGAACATGTCATGATGCAGATTGTCAAGTAAAAAGGAGATAAAGCAGCACTGTCAGGTAATGCTAAGAAATCAGCATGAACTCAAACACAATGATCTTGATCAATAAACTAGAATCTATATTTTCATTATTTTAGCATTAATAATATTTAATAAAGTAGAGAAACTTCATTAACTTGGTTGATGGAGTCAGAGTAGACCTGAGACCTGAAGAATCCGGTACAACTGTAAAACTCAGAACTGAGTAAAACGACTCATTCATTCAACAGTTCACACTATTACATAATAAACACACAAAACACAATAGAAAAAATTCAAGAATTACATTAATACTTAACACCGAAGGTAGATCTAGTATGCTGCTTTCAAGCATCAAGATCTTAACTACTTAACTACACACCACAGTAAACTTGTCTTAACGAGAATGCGAGGGCAGAAACGTAGTCGGCAAAGATCGATTGTTTTAGGTCACATTTCATTCTTGCGAGAAGTACCTACATATGACTTCCAAAACAGCTAATTGTTACATCAATATATGGTACAAGAATGCAAACATCATTTACACATGAATTCTGCCTAAAATTATTGGAATATTCGAACAAAGCTTGAATTTTCATCCCATTGAAAACGAGTGAAAGGGAATCCCCTGGGTCTTTCACTTCCGTTCCACAGTCAAAAGGAATTCTGGGATACCCCCGTACCCAGATCGAGAGAATGACCTAGTTAATAGGCCAAATCAATATTTTTGTAATTTCATCATTAAATTTAATAACTGTAAACGATAAAAGATGTTATTGCTCATCTTCGAAAATGTTCATGTCTTGTATTATCCATAAATATGTTGTAAACGAAATATACGTTTGATGCAAATAACCTTATGTCAGCAAACTTATCTCCCCTGTCCATTGCGTTAGAAATAATTATGCTTATAAATCAAAAGGTATAAAAATGTGTAGGCTATTAACCTAAAAAAGAAAAGAAAACAAATGGAAAGGGCTTCCAGTTGATTTTTATATAGAATTTTTTTTCTTTAAAAAAATGCTACTGCTGCCTTATGCTACATCGAACTCGATTATAGATATTTCCTAGATCTAACTACTAAATTACTATGCTACTTACCATGGCAGGGTAAACACTTATCTGAATGCGAAACTACTTCATTCCGCGAAAGGAAAGAACTATTATTGCAATGCTAATGCCTTTCAGTATAATATAAGACTATTTGGTAAAGACTTATTTTGGAGAAGTACGCCTTAAAAATCAGTCATGGTCGGTCAGCTACACACAAAAGCGGATCATACATAATTTGGGCTAAATTTCCAATCCGACGTAATTTTTAATAGCTCCTCAATTTCGACTTTGGCTACCTCTTAAAAGCATCAACACACATTTAGCAATGTCTATTAGACTTTCCAGTGTTTCTTTCAGGCATCTGCATTCTGGGGGGGGGGGGAGAGAATGAGCAATGTCCCGAAAAGTAAGACCAACGCCCCCACCCTTCGGCCTTCGACGAAATAGAAAAGATTAAACTTATTTAGAAAATATGTACTTTAACCATCGCCCACCGCCCCCGGAAGTATCAAGGATACCACAGGCCTATTATGAGGCTGATTATGGACCATAAACCTTAAATAATGTTGCCTAACGCTGCATTACTGAAGGGGACGAGGCTTTTACAGACCTTTTGGCGAATGGACGGGGTTCTTACTTTTGGAAAGTATGACGCCACACTTTTTCATTATATTTCAAATGCTTTGTGAAACAAAATGTTTCCAATTCTTTTCCAATTTAAAAATACCTTTGCGTAAATTGTAATAAAAATCAATCTATATATCAAAAGTGGAATGAGGTCAGCTAATATTTAAAAAAAGAAATTGCATTTCCCTCAAATGGTTTTATTCCTAGTGTGGCTTTGTGCCACACACACACATCACGATGACCCATACCAAATAAATGTAAATGTTGCACACACACACAGTATCTCTCTCATATATATATATATATATATATATATATATATATATATATATATATATATATATATATATATATATATATATATATATATATATATATATATATATATATATATATATATATCAGTGGCGGAACTAGAAAAAAAGGCCCCCCCGCAGAATTTTTTTTTGGGCCCCTATTTATATATATATATATATATATATATCAGTAGCGTACGCAGGGGGGGGAGCAGGGGGAGCGGCCGCTCCCCCTCTGGCCATTTTCAGCAAAGTGGCGCCTTTTTGGAAACTTTTTAAACTCAAAGTTTTAAACAATGATATTTGTTAAAAAATTATTTTTGGTCGACACATCTATGTAAATCACAAGATTTCTTTTTGTGCAGAAATTAAGCGTTATTGTACTAGTCCAGTAAAAAACCTCTACGGGTAGTACCACTTGGCAAGAGGGGTGTTAAGTTTAAGGCAACTGTATAATGTATTTGCTTACGAATAATTGAATTAGAAAATGTTATACATAAAACTTCACAAATATTTACTTTATATATACAGTTTGAATCGTGCGATTAATTAAAAAAAAAACTACAATACAGAAACAAATACAACTGATGTGGCACCTCTATTTAAATTTACTTATGAGCAAACTGCGTAGTGGTGGGGGAATTTTGACAAGGTCAACAAAGTCATATATATATTTGTGTAATGTATATGTATGTTAAGAACAGTCATCTAAAAACTGACTCTATGTTCACTATGAGTTGGTTATCCCCCCCCCCCAACACCTCACCACCACAATTGTGTAGAGCGACATTAATGTCACACCTGGGTAAAGGGCTGGTAAGTATGTCACCAACCAGTTCTATGGCTCATGCAGGTTTTATTGAGCAGTAGAACTGGTTGGTGACCTACTTACCAGCCCTATACACTGGGTTGGATAATTGACCTAAAGTGACCGGACAGTGGTGAATGAAGTTGAACCCACCCCCAACACCCAAACCCACCCCGAACTTATATGTTAAGCACATGTAGAAAAACGCGTAATGATGTACCAAAGTACCATGCCGCCAAAAAAATTAGCTTTTTAAACGTAAAACTCTGTGATCTAACCCATATATATCACTATGTAAAAAAATGATCTTTGAGGAACACAAAGAAGCAGTAGTTAATTAAAAGTATAATGATCTGAACTAAAACTACCGTTCTTTAGTTAAATGTAGGTTGTTATTCCGGATGTTTTCAATTCATTCGAAAAGCGTGGTTTTATACCAACTCTGATTTTAAAAACTTTCATTATGCTGTAATACTTTAGCATTTATGATGACGATATATTAAATTCTGATTATAGACAAAAACATTTGTAAACACGAATAGTGTTAAACAATTTTATTATATTCTAAAGTAGTTATTTATTTGTTTTGACATTTTATATAGTTAAATGTGTAGATATATACATATTTATATTAAGTGAGTGATTATTTCCCATATTTCACTTGTCTTAAATAATTTCCCAGGAATTATTTATAAGAAAATTTCTTACAAGAATTACAAAACAGATTGTGTTACGTTCATTATTTTTGGTTGTAGTGTGTGTATATTTGTTTTGTTTAGATTGATACAATTTTTGTTTTGTCGGCCTACATGGTGTTTTTTTCTTATTTCTTCAGAGTGCTACTTTCAATTTATTTTACATCATAGCGAAGTAATGACACACAGCTAGTAATTATATATATATATATATATATATATATATATATATATATATATATATATATATATATATATATATATATATATATATATATATATAATACACGTATATAGAACGTGTTAAAAATTCGGCGCCTTTTTTTGCTCTTTTCGCTCCCCCTACAACGAAAACCTGGATACGCCTCTGATATATATATATATATATATATATATATATATATATATATATATATATATATATATATATATATATATATATATATATATATATATATATATATATATCGATAGATAGATAGATATAGATATATATGGAAAACAAGGGTCGCTGTAATTTTTTTTTTTTAATTTCCATCTGGTACACGAATAAATCAGAGGTTTTCCAACACACGAGCTGGCCCCTTTCAGTTTTCCAAGTGAGGAGCACGGACTCTCTAAATCTAGTCCAACACACCAAACTGACGCCGATTTTTGAGGCTTTCATCAAAACGTTATCAACCGTGTGCCCTGTTTTCCAGAAGTTGAATTAAATGTTAACAATGTCGGCAGTTCATTTCTTGGATCTTAGGGCGCGGGTTTGTCCACACTACCAACTTACACGCCAAGGCATGCTGTAAGTCCCTCGGCGACGGCCCAGGTGTCAGGGGGAGTCACGGGGCTCTTGGAGCTACCGGTTACATTACTGCACGGGTGATGGGTGCAACACATTGTTTCTTCCGGCAGAGCTCCCCCCTGGAAGAAACATTGGTGCGACACCTAATTAGATGTAGTCATCGAGTGTTGTAGCGAGACTTATTCCTAGTGTTGTGGGAACTTTTAAACGACTGTCTGTGGGGGCCAACTTGCTCATATGTGATGCGCTCTGGATGACACTGCTGCCGGTTGTATTCAAGTAGTAACCAGATCCGCTTATGCAGGATCACGGGGCGCTAAATCACATATTTCCGTTAGGAGTCCCCACTCCAATATGTACAAATGTTAGGCCTATGACAGAAACCTTTGCGGGGCTGTACTCAACAGCTTCCCAAGTTTTCATGGCGATTGGGTGAATGATGCAGTAATGCATAATAGACAGAACAATGTTTTTCACATGTACAACTATATGTGGCCAGCTCACACGTCGGATAACCTTCTGATTTAGGGGAAGGGGGGGGGGGACTAACAAAAAGCCAGACCCTCACACACCCCCACCTCAATGACGTCATTTATAAATAGTAATTGACTATTAATAATGTTCAATTAATTCTAAACGTTCTAATTAATTTCTAAATTATATAAAAAATAATCTTACCTGCCCTGTTTTGTGAATTAGATGTGCCTAATACTATGAAAGTAAATTAATATCTGTTGACTAGATCTAGTGCTGTCTAGTGTCTGACTAAATGTGCTGAAGTGGTGAATCGTACGGTTAGGAAGTAGTTCATAAACGATACATTTATCTCCTCGATACTTGTGAGGTTGAGAAAGAGGGATGGGATAGGGGTCGGCTCGGGAAAAAACTTGAAAGAGACAACAAAACGCCTTGATCTATGTACGTCAGCATCGCCCATTGGAAAACTTACTCAGGGGAGATAATTCCAAGTATAGGCCTTAAAAGTTTACTATGATATTTCTTGTAAAAGCAAAAACAAGTAAACGTATATAAAACTGAAGTTTCTAGTATTATATTATTTTTTTATTATTTGTAGGATACAAGATAGTACAGGATACAAATTCAACCACTATCACAAACACATATTAACATTGAAAAATGTACAATGGATTTCGGGTCCCTTACCAATGCCGCAAAGAAGAAAGCCCACTTCATATGTAGCGGCTTTTCGTGCTATGGACTTTGTTGTTTTTTAAAAAGAATTTTGCCGGCGACAGCGTGTGTTTGATTGTAGGGAAATGGAACTCGGCCTTGACGATGGTTTAAAAATACAACTATAAATAACTGTTTTAAATATGTAAAAAAATGTATCGACAATTTTTGAACTCCCTTTTTGGTCCCCATCCCCTGCCCCATCCGCCACAGTACACTTTGGAGGATCGGTCAAACAGTTACGTGTCCTCTATTTAGCAGCTATCAAAGGGGGGGGGGGGGGCAACGAGTCAAAGAAGTCATTCAAATTTGAAGAGTTGCCTATATTTTACACTGTAGTTTGTGTAATGGATTTTATCTTTTGCGGAAGAGCGTGGAATAGTGACTGTAAAATAAAGATAATCGTACCGCAGCTACAGTGTTTTTCTTTTACAAACCAAATATTATGGCAAAAATGCACGAAAATTAAATTCAAAATTTTAAAAAAATATTAATTTTGGTCAGCCGTGGGCCCCTAAACGGCCTGCCCCCCCCCCCCCCCCCCCACGCGCATTGCGGGGTCTGGCCGGATTGTAGTTCCGCCCCTATTCATCAGGTAAATGAACAACTACTGACTAGTGTCTTTAACAAAATGTGCAGAAGTGGTCAGTTTACAGTTCAGTAGTTCGTTAATCTATGCATTACATCTTATTGTAAGAGTAAGGGTGTGGTGAGGGGTAGAGGTGAGGGGTAGGGGTGAGAGGGGGGAAGGAGAGAGTTGGGAAGGTTCATTGGAAGGGGACAAGAAAGCGCCGATAAACATCTACATCAATAGTGCCGACTTTTTCCGGTCGCCTAGAAAACCAGGATAGTCGCCGCAACATTTCCCCAGCCCGATTTCAAAGCGTGCCGGCAGTCAAATTTCAGATGCTTTGCTGAAGGGAGATAACTTAAACTTTTACAAGTTTATTGATACAGTTGTTAAAGTAAAAATGAACGCAATTATAAATGTATGAGATCGAAATAAATAATTATATTTTTTGTAGAATTCAGGCCAGTAGTTTAAACACACAATCATAGATATGTATTTTAATAATGTAAACAATATAAAAATGCTTTTTGTTCTGTAATCGACGCCACAAAAAAGAACGGTAGGCTACGTCTTTGAAGTTGTATATTATATGTCTGGCGGTCTCTCGAGCTATAGTCTGTGCATTTTTCTCAAAGACGTTTGCCGACTATCGTGTTTGTTTGTAACTGTAGAAGAAAGATAACTCGACCTCCACCTAATTTTTTATTTTTTATTTTTTTTTAAATAATTTAGCCAGGATTTTTGGGCCCCCAATCGGTCTGGGCCCCCCCGCATTGCGGGGTCTGGCGGCACTGTAGTTCCGCCCCTGATATATATACAAAACTGAGACTTCCAGCTTCGGCTATTTGGACTTTTACTTTACATAGACAATAATTTTAATAAACTTTAAATAATATATCAAGTGTTTGGTTTGATGTTCTCCAAGTAGTCAAACACTTTGGCATAGCGAGCTTTCTTTGCATTTTTCATTATGATGACGGATTCTGTTATTTTTTTTTTTAATTTTTATTTTGGGGGGGGGGGGGGGGAGTGAGTTTTTTTTGTTGGCATCTTTCCGGGATCGAGGGCGTACCCGACTCCGGTCGAAATATAAAAAAAATATAATTTACATAGAAAATGTAAAGGCAACTTTAAGTGCACCCCCCCCCCCCCGGAATTTTAGCGTGAAAGAAACCCTGGTTAGCATATTTAGTTTAGCCCGACTAAAAGTTGCTTCGAAGATGATTGCTAAAGTCGGAACAGCGACGGCTATTGTTTACTTCCGCTACAACGTCACTAATGATAACTAAAATAAAATCGAAACAAGAGTTAGTCCACATCACACCACAACGCTGTTTTAAAGTAGGTAATAATTTATTTTTACATTGTTAGAGCCTATTTTTTAAAATGATTAACCCAATGAGAAATAACTGTCGATCGCTGTGTTGATTATAGATTTAGTAATCTAGATTTCTGATCTAGGTCTAGATCTAGATCTAGATCTAGAAAATAGAATATTAGAATTCCACAAACTTTCTTAAAAATCTTAGACTTTTTTTTTTTAATTTTTTAGCGCAATTTCCATTCTGGAGAATTGCGTTTATTAACCCGTCATTTCTGGATGTATGAATGGATGGATGGATGGATGAATTTGTGTCCGCAGCTTTAAGTCGTATCTCCTCCTCAACGAAGCAATATCGATTACTAGTTCAGTTCCAAAAGCAATTATGTTAAGCAAGTTACGAGGATGAACATGGGGATAGGCCATAAAAATTCCGGGTTTCTTTCATGGATTTCCCAGAAAAGCCAAAAAACCTCGAAAAAATGCAGTTTTTGGCCCATATCTCGGCAACCAGACCACTTAGCGACTTGAAACATGTACCAATCGATTCCTGTCATAATTTAGAACAATATTGCCAAAGAAAGTTTTCAAAAATATCCTTACGTTCGGTCACAACAAATTTTTTGAAGTAATTAAAATTTGGACCGAATTAGTAGGCATTTTTTCCAACCACACCACACGCGTCATCACGTTCAATAGCTGCGCCATCACGTTCAATGGCTGCGTCATCACGTTCAGTAGCTAGGCACGCAATGGTTTTTAGTCATGTAACTCTATTGTAAATAAAACATGTAAAATACTGAAATTTTTTTTAATAAAAAACGTTTTAATAACTAACCAATGGTTTTACTAACCCTGCTCTTGATTTACGCTACGACAGAGCTATTTTTAGATAACATAAGGAAATTGCGCTAAAATTGTCACTAGACTTTTTAATTAACTTGTTTTTAGTTAGTTTAGTTAGTACTAGTACTATTAGTAGTGTTATTACTCTTTAGTAATTAGTTGAGTTTCAAGAATTAAGTTCCAAGTTTGGTTTAGGACTTCAGGAAGTAGTAATAGTTCTTTTTTGCATCCAACGCTCACACACACATTCACACAATTACAATAATAATTTTAATTTAACACCCACTCATTGGAACTCTGCTGAAAATGTACAGTTTTAGGCAAGTCAGTTAATGAAATAAGAATATTAATTATAGAACTATGGGTAGGTGTGGTCAAGTCGGTAAAGGCAATCTCATGGTTGCTAAACTGAAATGTCTCGAGTTCGAACCCTCGGGCAGATGAGGCTCGTTAGCTGGGGATAGCCACTCTTCTAGGAGAGACAACTCCAAAATCAAACAACTGCTGCCTTGTAGTTTGTTGTTGGTTGGACAAAGGCTATGGCTATGGAAGCAAATCCAAAAAGAAAAGCAGGCTGAAATAGGAGTCAATGGCCTCAATGGCGCATAACCAGTTAACACATATACGTAATTGTGTTGGAGGGGATGCCTTCCAACACTAAAATTAAGAATGAAGAAGAAGAAGTAATATAGAATCTATACATTTGTGTAGGCCCTATTTGTTTTGATTTTATTTTTAAATTAAAAATTGAATGAATTTTATATTTTTAAAAGTTGGTTAGAGGTTGGCCAATAAGTTGCTAGTTTATAAGGAAAAAACCACATTTTTCATTTACCTGGGTGTGGGTGATCAATAACAAAAAAAAACCAAGCAAGATTACTACGGGTATTATTAATATTAAAGACTAAGCTTAACAGTGCGTTAACTAATGATAGGCCTACACAGAATTTGCTAGAACTGTTTGCTACTTCCAAGTGTTGTCACTAGGGTGGTAATACAAAGCTACATTATTAAAATAAAATAAAAAGTGCAAATTTTTCTTTTTGTATAGAAGTAGAAAAAAAATGTTTAAAAGAAATGAAATCAAATTTCAAAATCAGACCATGATTGAAATATGAATGAAATTTTTAAAAGCTTTTAGTTCATCATGTTTTTTTATATTCATCTATGCCATTATGTTTCAAAAATTTCAGAGCTAGATTAGCAACTTACTATCTAAATATATTGGTGCTGACTGGCCAGTGGTAGAGATGGATGCATTACGTTTTCGACAGATAATAGCATTTGGCCTTGGGTGGTTAGCCTATGCTTCAACATATTTTCTACGTAAACCTTTAGGAGTGGTAAGATATAGAGATTCCAATAGTTACACTCTCCTTCCAATAGAATTTTATCTGTTATATTTTTAAAAACTTTTGTTTGATTTTTAAAATAGTATATATAAGAAAAAACTAATATTAAATAATGCTGACTAGTTTATTGTTTTGTTGTAATTGTAGATCAAAGCAGATCTTCACACTTTTATGAATTTAAGCCACACACAGTTGGGATGGTTGGACACAGCATTACTTTTTCCCTATGCATTCATGCAGGTATAGTATCATCTTAATTATTGTATGTTTTCAATCACTTAAATCATACTGTTTTAAAAAAAAAAGACTTTTTTTTTGTTTTATTGTTTTTCTTTAAAGTATTTAAATTTTACACGCTAAATAAATTTTATTTTATAGGGAAAGATGAGTATTTAAACAACGCTGGAAAAATGTGTTTTAAATTTAAAGAAATTACAGCATTTATAATTTATAAGAATATCATTAGTTTTGAAATATTTGTTTTATCTACAGATTCTTCTGGGGCCCTTGGGTGACAGGTTTGGTGCACGTAAAACTTTTGGTGTGTGCATGATGTTATCGGCCTTGTCTATGGTTTGTGGGGAGTTTTCATGTTGTTTTTTTTTAGTTTTATTTGATTTGATTAAGAGAGTAGAATAATTTGAAGTGTATAGGCAACATTGTTTTAGGATTTACCATTTTAAATTTACTGCTGTCAATTATTAATTTTTTCTAAATAAAGAGCTATAATTTTTAAATTTCAGATTTCATTTGGATACTTCTCAAGTTTTGCTGTCTGGTTTCTGTTGCTGTTTTTAAACGGAACTGCTCAGGTTTTTAATAATTCTATACAATTTTTCACTCTGTTTTTATGTTTTGATTCAGATTGTAATAATAAAAGTCTATAGATTCCATTGTAAAGCTTCTGCCAGTTAACCTGTTAAGTTATACTTTTGTTTGTTTTAGAGCCAGTGCTGGCCAAACTGCACAAAAGGTTTGTTGTGCTGGTTCTCTGACTCTGTGAGGAATTCCATGTTCGGCATGTTTGGGACCTGCGCATTTGCCGGTGGCATCATTGGAACAATGATATCAGTTGGTTTGCCTGAAAATTACTTACCTTAGCATGCATTATTAATTTAAGTGTGTTGAGAAAAACTTAGTGATATAGTGTGTCAAAGATTTCCTTAATACAGACCACAGAAGTTGAAATAACACACTGATGAGTTATCTGTGCATGTTCTCTGAGAAGTTGTCTTATATTATTCGTTAATTGACACATGCTATGTAAAGATAAATCATATAAGTTTGTTGTTTTACTTTTTGCCTCTAATACATAATTTTATCAATAGGTTTATCTACAATCTGCTTATGGCTGGAGATCTGTATATTTCTTCCCTTCCATTATTGTTGTGAGTTTGAAAAATTTTAATCCCATTTGTAATTTGAATTTTAAATTAAACTATTAAACTATTAAAAAGTAATATAAAAAACTAATTCATATACAGGAGAATAAGTACATTTTTCTTAGTTAAAATAAATTTTATGAAACAATTTTTTTTTCTAGTTTGTGCTCGGCTTTCTGGTGTTAATTTTGTTCACCCAACCTGATGAGCTGAACATGGAAGTCCCAGGCAGAAGTAGGTGGCTTCAGACACATTGGTTAAAAAAAAATTAATTTCCAGAGCTTTTGATTGCACATTTAGCATTAAAGAGATAGATTTGTAAATACTTGTAAACTGATTTATGATATTCAAATTAGTTTTCTAACACTCTTGTAAATGTAATTACATTAAAATTTATTTTTATTACATTTTTACCAGAAGTCGATACAGGAGAGAAAAGAATACATTTTTAAAAAATCATTCTGTTACCAGATTTGATTAATGAAGTAGAAATAGAATAGAATCCTACTGATGTTTTTTTTTAATTATTTTAATATTTTATCAGAAGTTGATAAAGGAAGTAGAAATTGAAAAGTATCCTAATGATGTTTTTTTTAAAAATAATTTTATTCTTGTATCAGATCTTGATAAGGGAAGTAAATAAAATACTTAAAAAAAACTTTTTAAAAAACCACGTTTTTCTTGTGGACTAAAAAGTAGAAAATAAATTTTTCTTTTGTGCTTCCTCGAGCTGTGCAGATTCTTGTGATGACTGACAAAAAACGTGGGTACGTTCACCATCAAATTTCCCGACCCATCTGCCCGACCCACGTTTTTTGTCAGTCATCACAAGAATCTGCACAGCTCGAGGAAGCACAAAAGAAAAATTTATTTTCTACTTTTTAGTCCACAAGAAAAACGTGGTTTTTTAAAAAAGTTTTTTTTAAGTATTTTATTTTCTCCTTTTTAGTCCGTTGCTACACATGAAAAACGTGGGTTTTAAAAAAGTTTTTTATATAGTTTATTTTCTACTTTATCTAATGACTTGATTAAGTATGACTTTACTAAGTGTTTATAAATACACAGACTAAAAATCTTGAGCGACCAGGATTCGAACCTGGGTTGTCGCGGCCACAACGCGAAGTACTAACCACTATACGATCACGGCCAGCGCGCTCACATCGATTGGGGCCGAAGTAACTGTGTCAATAGGCCTCCAGTCTTGTCGGTATCTTTAGAAATCATGTCCTCAATTTTATGGTCCTTGGGGCGTAATTAAATTAAGCTACTTACGGTCTCTAATTGCTAGTTTTTATGATTGCATCTGAAATTGTTAGGCGAAAGTAGCCTACATGCCAAATTTCAGATCTCTAGAGCAATCAGAAGTGGGCTAATTTTCGATGTCAATTTTAACAACAAACACACACGAAGCTGAGTTAAGAAAAACGTGTTAAAATTGAAAATAATCCTAATTATGTTTTATTTTTACCATTTTATTCTTCCATTAGGTGTAGATAAAGCTAAGGAGGGAGAAAAGAATCCTAATGTTACAGAGAAACCAAGGATGATTGACTTGTGGAGAATGCCGTAAGATAAACTTCTATATTGCTGTGTTTTATTAACAAATTTTAATGAATTATTGGATTCAATCAAATAGAAATTAAACCTGAAGTTAAAAGATACAAATCGCAAAATAGAAATACTTAAATTAGTGTTTTTGAAAATATTTCCTTAAAGTGTTATTAAAAAATTAAATAAGTAAAAACAGCATAATTTTCTGATTTTTATATATTAAAATTTTAACTCATTAATTTTATAATTTGCGGTATTAAGTACTTTTTTAATTAGATTTCATCATAAATATTTATTTTTGTGACTTAAATTTCATCATTGCTCTGACCAGCCTCATTTATTGATGTATTCTTCTTTCAATCCCTAGAATGATAGCAGAAGTTTCCATTGCTGTTTTCTGCCTCAAGGTAGTCAGATACTGCATGTACATGTGGCTGCCAATGTATTTACTGCAAGCTGTAAGTTCAAGAAGAATACAATCCTCATTTTAGATAACACAGAGCTGGAGTGTTTCTTATGAAGACAATGTAGACAAGTTGTTATGCATACTGAGGGGTTGACTGTAAATGACGTAAAACAGTTTTAAGATGATTTTTACCAACATCGTCACAAGTAATCACAAAAGGCAGCCCTCTCTCCCTCTAAAATGTTGTGACACATTTTCAACACCACTTTAAAATATCAATTATTCTAATGAAAAGTAACATATTTTTTGTAATGTCATTTGTAAAATATTTAATATAGGCCTATATGTTATATTTCTTAACCAACAGAAGCCTAGACACCTACCCCCACTGGGTTGGCACATCAAAGTTGATTGTTGATCATTCTTATGATGCTGCTAATTAAAAAAAAACATTTTGGTGTCTTAAGTTTGGCAATAAAAGAAATGAGGATAAATGAAGGAATAATACCCAAAAATTAAATGCAATAATGAACTCGTAATTTTTTTTTTTATTTGCTACAATTATGTACTCAACTGTACATATTTTTTTCTACTTTGATACAAATTGTTTATATTTGTTGATTCTTTGTTGTTTCTTTTTTTGTTGACAGTTTTATAGTATTCTAAATGTGTACATTAAGTGTAGTTTTCTTTGTTTACTTTAGTTAAACTACCCCAAGAGTATGGCTGGGATATTCTCTACAGTGTTTGAGATTGGAGGGGTAACAGGCAGTGCCTTGATAGGATTTGCCTTGGACAGGTCAGTATGTTGCTGCTGTGTTTGGTCATCCTAGTATGTTATATGGGTACCTTAGCATGTTATATGGGTACCTTAGGATTTTATGTGGGTACCTTAGGATTTCATATGGGTACCGTAGGATTTTATAGGGGTACCTAAGGATTTTATAGGTGCATCGTACATTATTATATTGGTACCTGACCATGTATTATTGTTTGTTATTAATTAGCTTAAATTAGGGTACTCTTGTTATGTTTTCATTGCATTGGGTACCTGACCATGTATTTTTTTTTATTAATTATTAATTAGCTTATACTAGGGTACCTGTGTTATGGTGTTATTGTATAAAGTGATACTAGTATCTTACTGATATACTGATGTGACTTAGTTCTGGATTTCCTGTAAATATTTGTGTCTCTTATTGAAATTGTAATGATTTTGTGACTGAGTGATGTATAAATACTTACAATACTTTTTGTTTGTCTCTTAATAATATCAAGTTGCTTGTATCTATTTAAGGTTTTTACATTAAATGTTACATTAAGCATTTTTAAATTATGTTACCATTTACATGGAACATAAATCTCCTTATAAATATTTGTAAATCTACCAAGTAGATAGTAGTGTAAGCAGTAATTTTCTTTTCTTTTTAAGGTATTACAAAGGGCAGACACTCCGAGGCATAGCATTGTTTGTTCTGATCTCCACGGTTGCACTCATCCTCTTTCTTATAACCAGCACATGGGGTGTCTTCATCAACTCCTTGTTTATGTTCATTGCTGGGGCTTTCAATGCTGGACCTGACATCTTGTTATGTGAGTCTTTCTGCATCCCAACTGATGGTGTAAAATGCACTATAATAGTGAAATAGCATATTGAATGTTGATGTGAGATGAACTGTAATAGTTGGATGGCATGTTGAATGATAGTTTGAGATCCGCTGGCAGGATGTTATGAGACCCTCTGTAAATGAAATATAATTTGTAAACAGCTGTTGTCTGTTGTCCTCAGGTGGCACTGTACCTGCTGATCTGGTGGAAAAACAAAACAAAAATGCTGCCACAGCCACTATAGGACTCGTCAATGGTATGTCATCTCATTATGTGTTTAAGTTGTGAGCAGGTTGGTGTTCTGTTGGGTTTTTAGTTGTGAACAGATTGGTCATATGTCATATAAATTAGAGTTATATTTTTTAAACTCACTAAATATTTAGTTTATTTCAAATTATACCATTATAGTGATGTTTCTAAAAAAATATCCATTATAAATTGGTCTTTTTGTCACACAAGTCTTTGAATTTATCTAGTAAACTGTTATGAATTTCAGAGACTTAACTTGAATTTTAAGAGTAGTGGTTGGTTATGACAGAGAAATAGAAAATAATTTTTTTTTTTGACTATACATAATGGCATGATGTACTCTAGTAAATCCATTCTAGCTGTATTTCTATAATATTCACTAAAATGGGCTTTACAAGAAATTTTATTTTTATTTTGAAACTCAAGAATATACATTTGGTATAATTTGTTTAATAATCTTTTAAATGTCTTTTCTCAGGGTTTGGCAGCATAGGCACATGCATTGAAGGGCCCATCATTGGTCTGCTGACGGCCTACTTTGGCTGGCCAGGTATGTTCCCACTGATGATTGGGTTGTCTGCCCTGGGTGCAGTGGCCACCTACAGAGCTGCCTCCATCCACGCCCGGGTCAACATGGCAACGACAGATTTTATTGAAGGTGTTTAAATCTTCATCTCATGCTTTTTCTCGTGGGCTATTGTAAAATTGTACAGTGGGGTATTTTATAGATTTTTTTACCCAATAATTTAATTGAATGAGATGTATTTTGTAACGCTAATGACAGATGTATGTTTTTTTAATCTAAAATGGAATATATATGCTGCTTATTATAAATACTAATACATTCTGAAGTTTTCCTGTGAAAATTTCATTGGGAAAGATTAAACTTATGTTGCGACATTCTAATAAATTATTTTAATTATTAAAAACTCAATACATATCACATGTATGATAAACATTTCAAAACAAAGTGATGTAAAAATATTATATTTATTTATTTAACATATTATTGGTAGATAAGTATGTGTGGTTATTTAACTTAAACTTAAGTGAGTTAGCTTTTTTTACTGAGCTGGTAATGTTTAAAAAAAAATTGCTGTTAAAAGATGAAATTTTGTTTCACCTGGTAAGACAGGTCGTGAAATTTTGTTATTTACAATCAATTTAAAATGGAATTGTATGGATTACAGTATTAACTTTTTCACACTGTTATTGTCAGTTTTAGATGCTATACTGATTATTCACATCATGCCATTTAATCACGCACTTACGATTTACCTGTTTATAACACCTGATCAACTTACTGCCAATCCATTTTGTTGGGTGTTGCGTCAACAGGCGAATGTTATACAGATCATACCTGGTTGTACGTGGTCATAAATTGGTCATTACTGGTTCATTCCTCTACTGCCTCGCTTTCTTAGTCAAACAGATCTTATGTTGGTATTTTCCTTCTGTTGTCCCCATCCCCCTCCACATACTCCCCACACCACCTACTACCCCCACCCCCCTCCATTCACCCATGCATAAGCTGAAGGGTGGGATCCACATGGCATAATTTACATCTGGTGTTTTTCAATTTTTTTATACCTTGATACCCTTTGTGTTACCTTGCTAGTTTTTTTTTTTATGAATACACAATATTTTGTGTGGTTACCTTGTAGGCTGCTGATAATGTTATCATTTATTTGTCATTGGATTAAGATTTTGTTTATGTTAAAAACAAGAGTTGCTCTTTTTTCCTTAGCCTGGTTAGTGATTCATATTACATAATTATAAATCATTATATATTTAGTGTATTAGAATACTGGAGGTCTAAAGCAGACTAGGATAGAGGACTTCAGAGGTCTTTCTGAGGTCCTAAAGTAGACTAGAGGACTTGAGAGGTCCTACTAAGGACCAAAAGCAGATTAGAAAAGAGGACTTGAGAGGTCCTATTGAGGTCCTAAAGGAGACTAATATAGATGACTTAATAAGTCCTACTGAGGTCATACAGCAGACTAGTATAGAGGACCTGCTAGGTCCTAATACAACAACCTTGATCTAGTAGTCATAGTAGGTTTAAACTTATGTCCAATTTAGAAGTGGTAAAAGGTATGATAAGTTAGTTGTAAGTATGGTAGTCTTCATGTGTACACAAGGCTACACACATTCAAAGTATCTGTTGTTTTACAGCCTTTGTGTCTCATTATATAGGGCTCAACATTTTCACAAAATGTGTTGTTCCTGTTGTGATGATATGCCAGGTTCACTGTGTTCTTCAGAACTCTAGTCTGTAGATGCGAAAAAATCTGGCAATGAACTATGCAAGAACAAAATTACTACACCACTTTCATTTCCTAACCTTTTGCTTCCAATTATATAGAAAATTATTTTTGTTCTATTACATGGTTTTATTACATGGAATACATTAAAATTGTTATAAAATTATTCTATTCTTGCATTCTTTATCGTGGTTTGATATTGTGATACATCACATTGAGGTCTACGAGATTTGATGTGCGTTTTTTTTTTCTCTACATGGTAGACCTATCCAACCCTATAGAGAGTACAACTGGACACAGTGGCGTAGCGAGGTCGGGTGTCACCCGGTGCGGCACCTAACTTTCAAACTTTCGATTTGCACCCCCCCCCCCAAACTTTCGATTTGCACCCCCCCCCCCCTTAAATTTTTCTCTATATATTTTGCTATTTTTTGCCTTGGTGTAACCCCCCTAAATGGTGTCACCCGGTGCGGTCCGCACCCCCCCCCCCCCTTTCGCTACGCCTCTGACTGGACATTGTCTATTTATCCCAACACTTGAAGGGATATTTAATTTTTGTTGAATACCAATCAAGAAACGTGTCTCTATAGTAATCAATCTTGTTTGGTTTGTTCACAAATGTTTGTGTTCCCGAGGGACAGGGGCAACAACCATCAGCACACATTGCGACCAGGAAATTATGACATTGACTTTGATTTTTTAGGTATTGCCATTTTTGAAACCATTCCAACAGTAAGAATAATTGGATGTAAGTGTTGGCACAGTGACAACCGGCTGGCGCACAATTTTCTTTTAACTTAATTGCGATTGTTTCTAAGAAAGCCACAACAAAATATGTTCAGCAAATTCAGGTCACATTTCACCAAATAGACCAACAAACAGATTTTTATATTACAAAATCAAGTTGTTTCTTGTGGAGGCCGCTGAAAAAATAATTATATAACCTTATTTACAGAGGTGGACTGGCCAGCCGGTCTACGAGGTAAAACCCTGGTGTACCCCCATGTAAAAATCTCGGTGGGCCCCAACAAAAAATTTCAATGGGCTCCAAGGGAAAAATCATGGTGCGCCCCAGCTACTGTGTTGCAATATTCCTGTTACTGTTTTGATTGATAAAAAATAAACAATTCGTTGGAATTCCTTCATTTTTACAAGCTTTTATTTAACTCACTTCCTCTGTCGTCAGTCGTCAGTCGTCAGTCTAGACGGAAACGCAGGAGTGAAAATTCGGACAGTTCTACTTGACCGACACGATTCACAGTTGGCACGTGGGTCAAGACATGAAGACAATGCAATCTGAAACTAAATTTGACTTAATTGGATGCCTAATTGATTTTTTATGAATTAATTAAAATTTGGACCGAATTAGTAGGCATGTCTAGCCAACCACACCACACGCGTCATCAATAGCTGCGCCATCACGACCACGTAATGGCTGCGTTCAAAAACCATTGCGCGCCTACTGAACGTGATATTCAGTAGGCGCGCAATGGTTTTTAGTCATGTAACTCTATTGTAGATAAAACATGTAAAGTACTGAAAAAAAATTCATAAAAAACGTTTTAATAACAAGCTTTTATGTAATGATGCACTAAAAAGTAGAAAATAAATTATAGACTACTATTTAAATAACTATAAAGAAAAGCGTGGGTGTCTTCCTTAACATTAGTAAAGGTATCCAATAGATACTAAAGTGACCCACGCTTTTCTTTATAGTTATTTAAATAGTAGTCTATAATTTATTTTCTACTTTTTAGTGCATCATTACATAAAAGCTTGTTATTAAAACGTTTTTTATGAATTTTTTTACAAGCTTTTATTTAACTCACTTCCTCGTCAGTCTGTCTGTCTGTCTAGACGGAAACGCAGGAGTGAAAATTCGGACAGTTCTACTTGACCGATACGATTCAAAGTTAGCACGTGGGTCAAGACATGAAGACAATGCAATCTGAAAATAAATTTGACTTAATTGGATGCCTAATTAATTTTTTATGAATTAATTAAAATTTGGACCGAATTAGTAGGCATGTCTAGCCAACCACACCACACGCGTCATCACCTTCAATAGCTGCGCCATCACGTAATGGCTGCGTTCAAAAACCATTGCGCGCCTACTGAACGTGATGTTCAGTAGGCGCGCAATGGTTTTTAGTCATGTAACTCTATTGTAAATAAAACATGTAAAGTACTGAAAAAAAAATTCATAAAAAACGTTTTAATAACAAGCTTTTATGTAATGATGCACTAAAAAGTAGAAAATAAATTATAGACTACTATTTAAATAACTATAAAGAAAAGCGTGGGTGTCTTCCTTAACATTAGTAAAGGTATCCAATAGATACTAAAGTGACCCACGCTTTTCTTTATAGTTATTTAAATAGTAGTCTATAATTTATTTTCTACTTTTTAGTGCATCATTACATAAAAGCTTGTTATTAAAACGTTTTTTATGAATTTTTTTTTACAAGCTTTTATTTAACTCACTTCCTCTGTCGTCAGTCGTCAGTCTGTCTAGACGGAAACGCAGGAGTGAAAATTCGGACAGTTCTACTTGACCGACACGATTCACAGTTGGCACGTGGGTCAAGACATGAAGACAATGCAATCTGAAACTAAATTTGACTTAATTGGATGCCTAATTGATTTTTTATGAATTAATTAAAATTTGGACCGAATTAGTAGGCATGTCTAGCCAACCACACCACACGCGTCATCAATAGCTGCGCCATCACGACCACGTAATGGCTGCGTTCAAAAACCATTGCGCGCCTACTGAACATGATATTCAGTAGGCGCGCAATGGTTTTTAGTCATGTAACTCTATTGTAGATAAAACATGTAAAGTACTGAAAAAAAAATTCATAAAAAACGTTTTAATAACAAGCTTTTATGTAATGATGCACTAAAAAGTAGAAAATAAATTATAGACTACTATTTAAATAACTATAAAGAAAAGCGTGGGTGTCTTCCTTAACATTAGTAAAGGTATCCAATAGATACTAAAGTGACCCACGCTTTTCTTTATAGTTATTTAAATAGTAGTCTATAATTTATTTTCTACTTTTTAGTGCATCATTACATAAAAGCTTGTTATTAAAACGTTTTTTATGAATTTTTACAAGCTTTTATTTAACTCACTTCCTCTGTCGACAGTCTGTCGACAGTCTGTCTGTCTAGATGGAAACGCAGGAGTGAAAATTCGGAAACTTCTACTTGACCGATACGATTCACACTTGGCACGTGGGTCAAGACATGAAGACAATGCAATCTGAAACTAAATTTGACTTAATTGGATGCCTAATTAATTTTTTATGAATTAATTAAAATTTGGACCGAATTAGTAGGCATGTCTAGCCAACCACACCACACGCGTCATCACCTTCAATAGCTGCGCCATCACGTAATGGCTGCGTTCAAAAACCATTGCGCGCCTACTGAACGTGATGTTCAGTAGGCGCGCAATGGTTTTTAGTCATGTAACTCTATTGTAAATAAAACATGTAAAGTACTGAAAAAAAAATTCATAAAAAACGTTTTAATAACAAGCTTTTATGTAATGATGCACTAAAAAGTAGAATATAAATTATAGACTACTATTTAAATAACTATAAAGAAAAGAGTGGGTGTCTTCCTTAACATTAGTAAAGGTATCCAATAGATACTAAAGTGACCCACGCTTTTCTTTATAGTTATTTAAATAGTAGTCTATAATTTATATTCTACTTTTTAGTGCATCATTACATAAAAGCTTGTTATTAAAACGTTTTTTATGAATTTTTTTTTACAAGCTTTTTTTTAACTCACTTCCTCTGTCGACAGTCTGTCGACAGTCTGTCTGTCTAGATGGAAACGCAGGAGTGAAAATTCGGACAGTTCTACTTGACCGATACGATTCAAAGTTGGCACGTGGGTCAAGACATGAAGACAATGCAATCTGAAACTAAATTTGACTTAATTGGATGCCTAATTGATTTTTTATGAATTAATTAAAATTTGGACCGAATTAGTAGGCATGTCTAGCCAACCACACCACACGCGTCATCAATAGCTGCGCCATCACGACCACGTAATGGCTGCGTTCAAAAACCATTGCGCGCCTACTGAACGTGATATTCAGTAGGCGCGCAATGGTTTTTAGTCATGTAACTCTATTGTAGATAAAACATGTAAAGTACTGAAAAAAATAATTCATAAAAAACGTTTTAATAACAAGCTTTTATGTAATGATGCACTAAAAAGTAGAATATAAATTATAGACTACTATTTAAATAACTATAAAGAAAAGCGTGGGTGTCTTCCTTAACATTAGTAAAGGTATCCAATAGATACTAAAGTGACCCACGCTTTTCTTTATAGTTATTTAAATAGTAGTCTATAATTTATTTTCTACTTTTTAGTGCATCATTACATAAAAGCTTGTTATTAAAACGTTTTTACAAGCTTTTATTTAACTCACTTCCTCGTCAGTCGTCAGTCGTCAGTCTAGACCAGGGGTCTCCAAACTTTTCAGTCCAAGGGCCGCATTAACTATCAAATTTCAGTTCGGGGGCCAGTTTCTTCCAGGCATGTCTGATTTTTCTGGGCAAAGTTCCTCAGCCATCACCAACAAAAAGATCTCCGCGGGCCGGATAAGAGGACCTCGCGGGCCGCATCCGGCCCGCGGGCCGTAGTTTGGAGACCCCTGGTCTAGACGGAAACGCAGGAGTGAAAATTCGGACAGTTCTACTTGACCGATACGATTCACAGTTGGCACGTGGGTCAAGACATGAAGACAATGCAATCTGAATCTAAATTTGACTTAATTGGATGCCTAATTAATTTTTTATGAATTAATTAAAATTTGGACCGAATTAGTAGGCATGTCTAGCCAACCACACCACACGCGTCATCACCTTCAATAGCTGCGCCATCACGTAATGGCTGCGTTCAAAAACAATTGCGCGCCTACTGAACGTGATATTCAGTAGGCGCGCAATGGTTTTTAGTCATGTAACTCTATTGTAGATAAAACATGTAAAGTACTGAAAAAAATAATTCATAAAAAACGTTTTAATAACAAGCTTTTATGTAATGATGCACTAAAAAGTAGAATATAAATTATAGACTACTATTTAAATAACTATAAAGAAAAGCGTGGGTGTCTTCCTTAACATTAGTAAAGGTATC